CTATTTAACTGTCCAACCATGGTTGCCCTCGTTCAAACCTTAAGACCATGTCATTAATCAAGTCATTGGCTGGATAAGGCTACTTGGTCTACCAACTCGTTACTATCATAAGAGTATTATTCGGTCCATTGGCAGTATTTTTGGCAAAGTTATTAGAATTGATTATAACACTGATTCTGGTGATCGGGGCAAGTTTGCGAGACTAGCAACAATTATTGACCTCACCAAGCCACTTACTTCAAAAATCAAAGTTGACGGTCAGACCATTTATGTGGAATATGAAAACCTTCCATTGATTTGTTATCATTGTAGACGATATGGTCATTTACAAGATAGTTGCCCGGAAAAAATGGAGGTGTCGGCAGAAGGCGTTCCCCCGTCAGTGGCGAGTGAACCACAGGTGATCCCTGATACGCGTGTTGGTACGAGATATGGAGAGTGGATGCACGCCTCCAAACCAGGGAAAAGGTATGACAGAAGTGGACGTAGAGAAGCATATGCCACAAGCAAAGGAATTGCTACGTCCTCAAGGTTTGACGTCCTCAATGTCGCTACAGAAACTGAGCATCACAGTCACCAAGGGTACGAAGCTATCAGAATGTGCCCCACTGGAGAGGCCACTACCTCACGATATAGACCAAAAGAGACAAAAGCTGCCCCCAAAATTAATCCTGACCCGAGACCAATTAATGGTAAAGAGACTGCGCCTAGTAAAGACTGCATATTTAACGTACCTAGCTATAAAGCTATGCAAGCTACCACAAGCCTCGACAGAGCCCAACACCAGGTAGTCACTGTCCACGATGACAGGATCCCATAAAAAAACCAACAAAATACAAACATCCTGCTGCACTCGTCCTCCACACTTAAAAATCCAACCCAATCCCGCAACAGTGATCAGATTGCTTTATTGATTAAGCCACCTGATCCAATCGCTGAACTAAGGGGTTTTAATCTAACACCTAAAGTTAGAATTAAAAATTTAGAGGATAAGCACAGTGACTCTCGAACAGGGCCATGTGTACGTGCAATGAAGGAGATTGCTAGAGGTCTTCATGCAGAAAATGCTCAGGATGCCAAGGATGAAGCTATTGCCATGCTAGTGGAAGGAGTAGATTTTAGGTCGGTTCCCGAGCACTAAATCTTTTATGATTATGTCCATTTTTGTTTGGAATTATCAAGGGGCCTCTAACAAAAGGTTCCCCTCTATTACTAAATCTTTTATGTCTACTTACAAACCTGAAATTTTTGTCTTTGTAGAACCTAGAATTTCAGGAGCCAAAGCTGATAAAGTTATCAAGAAACTTGGATTTCATTTCTCCCATAGAGTGGAAGCTTCAGGTTTCTCTGGTGGTATATGGATTCTCTGGACTGATAAAGTGACCATCAATGTTATCACTAATCATATCCAGTTTATTCATATGGAAGTATGCTTTCTTATTGATGGTAGGAATTTCTTCTTTTCGGCTATATATGGCAGCCCATAAAGCTGCTATCAGAAATTCCTCTGGTAGGATTTCTCCAAACTGGCTCCTAACTCACACCATCCATGGATTCTAGCTGGAGACTTTAATGCCACTATTCACAATGATGAAAGAGTAGGAGGTTCAGGATGTATGCAAATGGGTTGCAAACTTTTCAGAGACTTTATCTATCAACATAGGCTTATTGATTTGGGCTATAAAGGCCCAAAATTCACATGGAGACGAAGCACCCTCATGGTTCGACTGGACAAGGCCTTATGTAACCAGTGTTGGCTAAATACCTATCAAGCTAACTGGGTTGATCACTTACCCAAAATCCTATCTAACCACAGACCCATCCTAATTCATTTGGGCCTCCATAAGCAAACCCAAATGCCTATTTAAGGTTTCAAATTCCTTGCGTCTTGGGCCTCTCATCCTTGTTAAGAGATGCTAGTCCCTTGATCGAAGTGTAATTGAAAACATAAAAGTTTTCTCTAGTAAGGCTACACATTGGAACACTCACATTTTTGGAGACATCGGACGAATGAAGAATAGATTACTTGCCAGAATCTCAGGAGTTCAATGTAAGCTTGAAACTTACCCCTCCTCTGATTTTCTCTCGAATCTTGATCTGAATTTACGAGAAGAGTTGGAGGAAATTTGTTTACAAGAAGAGCTGCTATGGTTTCAAAAATCCTCTACAAATTGGATCTGCCTCGGTGATTGGAACACATCCTTCTTCCATACTAAGGCTTTAATTCGTAGGCAGAAAAATCACATCACTAGACTAAGGTCCACCCAAGGAGAGTGGATTGAGGATATGCAGCAACTCACAGTGATGGCTCACGATTTTTACAAGAACCTGTACCACCTTGAGGATACGAGTTTCACGCCTTATGTGGTTACAGGTGCTTTCCCCAAACTCTCTGCTTCATCCTATACCTACTTAGAGAGATTGGTCTCCATTGATGAAGTTAGGAGTGCTCTTTTTGAAATGAAACCACTCAAGGCACCTGGATTGGATGGCATTCATGCTATGTTTTTCCAAACTCAATGGGATGTGGTGGGTCAAAATCTCTTTCAATATATCAAGGATTTTTGGCTTGGCCAGCCCCTGGATCCCTCACTAAACCGCACTCTCATTGCTCTTGTCCCCAAAGTCAGTCAGCCGCAGTACATGCGATAATTTCGCCCCATCAGTCTTTGCCCTGTCATTTACAAAATCATTACAAAAGTGATAGCCAACCGCTTAAGTGCAATTTTGCCGCATATTGTGTTGCCTTATCAGACCAGCTTTATCCAAAATCATAGTATTGTGGATAACATAATTATAGTGCAAGAGGTGATACACTCAATGCGTAACAAAAGAAGGAAAAATGGATGGATGGTAGTAAAGGTAGACCTTGAGAAAGCTTTTGATAAGCTACGATAGGAATTTATCCTTGATACCTTAACAGATGTTGGTCTACCTCCTTCCCTTATTAATCTAATCATGGCTTGTATTACTTCTCCTACCATGCAAGTCATCTGGAATGGTCGTCCCACTGACAGCTTCTCCCTTATGAGAGCTGTGCGACAAGTAGATCCATTCTCCCCATATATCTTTGTTCTTTGCATGGAATGCTTATCACAAGCAATTATGGCCGAAGTTGCTAAAGGAACTTGGCATACCATTAAGCGGGGTCGAAGGGGTGAACCTCTCTCACACCTGTTTTTCGCAGATGACTTAATCCTCTTTGGTGACACATCTGATTTGCAAATTGAAACCATTCAAAGAGTATTACAATAATTCTGCACCTCATCGGGACAGGTCATCAGCCACTCTAAAACCCAAATTTATTTCTCCAGGAATGTTCCTAATGCTTCTTGCAACAATATCTGTCAAAAACTGGGGTTCCAACGCACAAGTTCCCTTGGAAAATATCTTGGTGTCCCCCTAATCACTGAGAGAGTAACTACTACCACTTACAGTTATATTCTTGAGAGAATTCAGCAAAAGCTAGCTGGTTGGAAAAGTAGAACCCTCTCCTTGGCTGGTCGTATTACTTTAGCTAAGTCTGTGCTTACATCCATCCCCTTCTACTCAATGCAGAGTACCCTACTTCCTGTCTCTAGCTATCACGCAATTGAAAAAATTGTAAGAAACTTCATTTAGGGTCATACAGATGATCATCGAGGTGTGAACTTGATCAAATGGGATGTCCTCTGTCAGCCTTTGTCTCATGGAGGTTGTGGATTATTGAACTTGGCAGGTCAAAATAGGGCCTTTCTTGCAAAATTAGTTTACAAAATTGTCGCAGATCCAAATATGCTTTGGGTGCGTGTCTTGTGAGGGAAATATAATCTCAAAGGACTATATCCATCAATTTTGAAATGTTCAAAGCCTTCTTATTTATAGAGAAGCATTACAAACATTTGGGAAGAATCAGTGATACATATCAAATGGAAACCAGGTGATAGTAGGCATCTAAAATTCTGGATTGACTTTTGGGTTGGGGATCTGGGACCTTTAAGGAACCTTGCCTATACTGATCTCACTGAGATTGAAAAAGAAAAATTGATTGCTGATTTTCTAAAAGACAATGGACAATGGAACTGGAGCCTTTTTGAGCACCTCTTGCCTGATTCCATCTTGCAACAAATTAACACTGTTAGTGTTGCTCCTATTGGCTCTATGCCTACCTACTTTTGGAATCTCACTCCTAATGGTGCATTTACTATTAAATCAGCATACCAAGCCTTTATCTCTCAAACTTAGAACAATGCAGACACAAAATGGAAGCATGTTTGGAAGCTTCCAGTAGCCCAGCGAGTGAAAACTTTCATTTGGCTACTACTCAAAGGTCGTTTGTTAACAAATTTTGAACGTCTTCAAAGGAGGATGACTGATAACCCCCAGTGCTCTCTTTGCAATGACCCAGTTGAAGACATAGACCATGTTTTCCAAAGTTGTTCCTTTGCAGCTGCTGTGTGGAAAAAGGTTTTACCGATGGATATGTATGCTGAGTTTTGCAAAACTACCTTTGAATCTTGGCTTGTTCGTTCACTTCAGAGTAAAAAGCTGGATATCTCCTGGAAAGTGGGAATTTCAATCATGTGTTGGAAATTATGGGAGGTTCGAAATCATAGAATCTTTACTGTTGATCATTACTATGTTGACTCATTCATTGTATACGTTAAGACTTTGGTAGATCACACTCTTAGAGTTTTTTCCACTTTTAAACTTTTGATGTAATTGGCTTTTGCCTTTTGTTTCTGTACAGTTTTCTTAATGAATTCCCTTTTATTCAAAAAAAAAAACATATTAGTGGCACTTTATATTTTAAAAAAATAAAAAATAGTAAACGATATTTCATAGGAAAAACTAGTAATTTGATCCCATAATTTATCCAATTTTGCCTGCGAAGATAAAAAAAATGGCTTCTAATTAACTTCATTAAAATATGAGCTGACGTTCACAAGCAACTCTATTGTGCAATCGTACACGATCACGAATATATATTGTAAAAAGTAAAACATGTATGAGTAACTTCGTTTATAAAATTTACCATCCGATTAATATATTTCTTTGGATGATACAATTCAAACGTGTATATAAATACATATAAGCCGCACCAACCCTAACTTATGAACGACGCACAAATTTCTGTATTAGCCTTTTGAGCTGCCATTGTTGAACACTGAACATTGAGCTGTGGGCCTCGACATCGGGCCACCACTACTCGCCGGACACGTCATCACCCCCCACAGCGGCGGCACCATGCAATTGTAAGACAAGCACAACGACGCCGTATCGGGCACCACGTCCGGGTGGGGAAACCCTGTCAAGTAGTTATGCTGAAGGTACAATGTTTTGGTGCTGCCACGGCACACGCTCTTAGCGTACTCCTCCGGCACCGTTCCCATCAAACGGTTGTTATTCAAGAACAGGCTCTCAACCCCATCCAGAACCGTTGATAACTCGCCGGTCAAAAAATTGTGGCTCAAGTCTACGATTGATCCCTGACCGTACGATGGCGGCGTCGAAATTAGCGGTCCCTGATCCTTTTGCGGTATCCCACCTGATAGATTGTTCCGTTGCAAGAAAAGCGACGAGAGTGAGGGGATGAAGAATAGTGGGCCCGGTATGGTCCCACTAAACTGATTCATGCTCAAGTCAAGGAACGTTAACTCAGTGAGAGTAGCTAAGCCGTTGAGTGGACCCCACATGCGATTGTTCGACAGCGAAAGATAACGGAGGGATGACGGCAGCGACGGCGGTAACGGTCCGGTGAGGACGTTGTTCTTCAAATCTAAATGGAGGAGTTGGGAGGAGATTGGCGATAACTCGCCGGAGATGGAGTTGAAGGCTAATATGAGGACTTTGAGTTCCGGTAACTCGGTTAGACCTGGCGGGACTGACCCGGTGAGTTGGTTATGACTCAGATCGAGTGTGTGGAGGCAGTTCAAGGAGGAGAATGTGGCGGGTATACTGCCGGTGAAGCGGTTACTGGGTAAGGAAATTACTCGAAGCTTAGCGAGTTTCCCGATTTCGGGAGGGATGGAACCAGTGACGATGCCGGGGGCGAGGATGAGTTGAGTCAGCTCGGTGAGTCCGGAGATGGCGGCAGGGAGAGAGCCGGCCAGTCCAGGTGAGTTGCCGAGTGAGAGAATGGTGACTCGGAGGGAAGAAGGATGTAAGAGAGAGCAAGTGACGCCGGAGAAGGAAGAGCAGGGGTCTGGCGAGGTGAAGTCCCAGGTGGAGAAGAAGGAATTTCTAGTGTTGTAAATGGAAGTGAGGGAGTTCTTGATGGCGAAAAGAGCTTTGAGATCCGAGAAATTGAGCTTTGGAGATTGCTGAAGCGACGGAGAAGGAAGAAGAAAGAAGAGAAGTATAAAAACGCAGAAGCAGAAGCAGAGACGGTGGTTGGCCATTTACAGAAGAAGAAAAGCAAGCATGAAAGAGAGAAAATGCAGAGTGAGAAAGTGCGTGAAAAGTGTTTGTGAAATTGACAAAGAGAAAGAAATCAGAAATGTGATGTAAGAATGAAGAAGGTGGTGCAGAATAAGGAGAGGTCAGAGAAGCTATAAAAGGAGGGAAGTGTGACAGTTGAAAGAAGGAGAAATACAAGCACAGGTACAGGAGGGGTTGAAATCTGCAAAACGACATGGCAGTACTTTGTTGCTTGCGTTTCTTAAGGTTGAGTGTTGGATTTCTATCTCGTTCCCTTTTGAGAAAAAGGGATGAATAGTTAAACACACTTTATTCAAATAGGTCCCCAGATTTGTGTTTTTCTATTTGTTAACAAGCTTACGTTGGCTTCATTGGAGTTGTATTTATTCGAATTCATAAGAAATGACATGAATCTATCAACTTTGAAAAGTGATATCATCAAAACGATTTCATCAAACTCGGTGAAATTGAACATTCCGTAGAGTATCAAATACAGCCCCAATTCAGTACCAGTAGAATCAAATGCTTAGCAGTGCAACTATACGATTTTATAGTTTTGTTAAAGTGGCAAGGGTTGGCCACTTCACAGCAAACCAAGTCAATATTTAAACATCTGTTAAAGAAAAATATTCATATTTAATACTTGGCTATATTCTAAAATGAATTGTTTTTAGGAGGAGAACAATTGTTAAAAAAAAAGTACATATAATTTTATATATAAAAAAATGAACATCATATTGGTTTTTTCTAAATGGTAAGGAATATAGGAAGATTTGATGGACAATAATAAAAGCTATTCGTTTCTTTCAGAATTATAAAGTATTTTTAACTAATTTATATTATCTAATAAGTTTGTTAATGGCATTCAAAATTACATTTTCTTTTAATATTTAAATAAGATGTTTTAATTAGAAAATCCTATTAATTATACCTTCAAAAACCAAAATGCTTTATATTTTTTTTAACACAAGGATAATACTTCAGAAAAAGGTACCTTATGATACATAATGGAAGAAATAGTTATCAAAAGATGTTCGACGCGAACCACAATTTCTAAATTCACGACTAGTAAAAGGATAATTAATTGGGAACCACAATTTCTAAATTCACAACTATTAAAAGGATAATTAATTGGGGTTTTTAAGGGGGACTTTAGCCGTTATTTTAGGGTAAATGTCGGTGGGAGAGTAAAGAATGAATGAATTGAATTTGAAAGAAAGAAGTAAGAGTCATGCAGAGTGAGGAGGTTTGATAACTGAGGATGGGCCCTCCAAAACACGACACTCCAATGAATCACCACAACAAGTTGCAGCATTTATGAACATCATTGCTTCTCAAGCTTTGCTCATTCCAACATTTACATCCTTCCAGGTACTTTCAACCAAGTCAGCCTATCCTGCTAGAATAACATGGTATAAATCATGTTACACTCTCACAGCATCTAATATTTTGTCTCCCAATTCTATCAAGGCCTCCCTTAAGTCACAAGCCTCCATCTAATAATTTTTCAAGCAGATATGAGCAAATAAATGATCCCATTTACATAAGGGAAAATTGTGCATAAAAATCAATAAGTTCAATAAAATACCTTGTTTATAATCATTTTGCTCACAGCTTAACTACAATTTTTATCATTATTTATTGAATCAATGCAATGATTGATTTGATTTACAATTTCTTGATAATTATAGTAGAATAGGGCATTTTTATGCTACTTCGTAATACTATACATTTATCCATTCATTCAGTTAATATCCAGATTATTGAAGTCATAACTAGAGATGGATTGGTATCCAATGCAAAACAAAGTGCGCATTTCATGATCTCATGTATGAAGCTATTGGGCGATGCTCATGGATACCCTCTCATCACATGGTCCCCAATCTAATGCAGTATGGCATGAATAAGACCCCACATTTGTTTTGTTTTGTTTGAACCCGACACAGAATATGAATTATGCTTCCACTTCACTCCTTGGCCATATGATACCCATCATGACTGCATACGCCAAAATCTGATGACCAAGACCTCTTCCATAAATTATCACTAACACTCTCTCACATTTTTATAATCTATCTTCACTCTTTCCCACACACTTTGCTTTTAGATCCCAATGCACGCTGCTCAACTTTTCTATCTCTTCACCCTAAGCTTGGAAAAGATTCTTTTCTATTGACCAAGAGTTTTCAAGAGCTGGGCTAGAAATGTGACAAGTATCAAAGGACCAATAGACCCCCTTTTAGCATTAGTGGGCTACACATATGGATTTTGATATTACCTCTCGTGTGACCCACGAAAAAAATACAACCCTTAAAAATTAAAACCTGTAAGATATAATAGAAGTTCTAAAAAGGAATAGTATTTGAGTTATGAACTAGGATGGAGAGTTGGGGTGTCTCGCCCTCATCCTTTGAATTTACTATTGCCATTTAAAAATAATTTTTAGATTAGCAAATTAAAAATAATCAGAAAGTTTGTTAAGTGACAATTAAAAAATACAATAGACATTATATTTGAATAAAAAATAATATCGCTATCAAAGGGGGGCTCAAGACACATAAGTTTCCCTTATTGGAGCATTTGAATGCTCAGGAACTCGCCCAAATAAATGAGAAAACCCAAATGAAGTAAATTATATGTATCTAAAAAGTTTCGGGAATCCGAGAACATGGAATCCAAAACCACTTAAATCACCAACAAATTACAAGTTCACAGTTCTAAAACATATTTGGAATAGTATTCGACCTTTCAATGGACATTACAGAAAGTGATTTGGATCTTCTCAGCAACAGAAGAGGACAATAAAAGAGAGGTAGAAAAAGGAGAGGTGAGAAATCCCATCTGAGTTCAACTCTCTTTTCCTATCTCTCCCTTACAGATCCTCTGCAGTGTACTCGGCAGAAAGGCATAGGCAATCCAAAGTCCAAACTAAATGATTGTAATTTAAACTTGACTAACCATGGAACTGCCAACAAACTAGGCAATGTCCGTAGCTGGCTGTGTAACCCCAAACTTCACCAACAGCTTAGTCAGCGTCTCAGGTGAGCAAACTTGATACTTTACTTTTCCAGAAGGTGACAGGAAAACCTCAGCGAGTTCGAGTTTATCAGAGGTCAAACTTGTGCTGTCCATAGTTTTACTGAGAACTTTGAGTGCCAGCTGCACAGCTTCCTCCCTAGCAATATCATCCTTGTAATCTTGCTTAAGTATTGACTGCGCTGCCTGGTTATTTGCACCAATAGCTGCAGCTTTCCAACCACCATAATTTCCACTAGGGTCGCTCATGTAAAGCTGAAAACCATAATTTTTGTCCCATCCAGCAAAAAGGAATGAGACTCCAAATGGCCTTAGACCACCAAATTGTGTGTAACCTTGCTTGGTATCACACAGAGATTGAACTAACTGTTCAACAGGCATAGGCTCTTGGTAGGCGTAAGTGTAGCGTTGTGCTTGGACCCTGGCAGTGTTGATCAAGATGTTGGCATCAGACATTATACCAGCCACAGCACAAGCAACATGATCATCAATCTTATACATCTTCTCAGTTGAAGTTGAGGTTTGCAGAAGCTTGGATGTCACTTTTTTCTCACCAACCAATACAACCCCATCTTTAGATAAGATCCCTATAGCAGTACCTGCATTTCCAATAGCCTCCATTGCATACTCTACTTGGTAAAGACGGCCTTCAGGAGAGAAGATTGTTGTACGGCTATCATATCTTCGAGACATATTGATCTCTAACTATTAATACAAAGCAAAAAGGAAAGATTACAGGGATTAAGAATTAAAAATATTGCTCAGTAAAACAAATTGTTTTGACATTATATATTGTGATCCATGGATAAAATACTGTAAGCTCAGGAGAAAAAAAATTATAAACTAATTTAACAAACTATGACAAGAAAACAGAGTGTTAAGTATATAATATTTGAAATATCTATATGGGAACCCCCCCTTCTGGTAAAATCAGTACTAATTCCAATAACTACTAAAAGATCATCATACAACAACAACAACAACAACAAACCTTTATCCCACTAGGTGGGGTCGGCTACATGGATTGCAAGACGTCATTGTGCTCTATCATTTATTAAGCTTTTAGGAATATTATTAATTAACAGATCACGTTCAATAACTTCCAAAAGTGTTCTCTTAGACCTTCCTCTACCTCTCTTAATCGGACTCAAAGTTATATGTTCCACTTTTCTCACTGGTGCCTCCCTCGATCTTCTTTGTACATGCTCAAACCATCTCAACCGATTTTCTACCATTTTTCCTCAATAGGTGCCACCCTCACTTTTTCGCGTACGTGCTCATATCGAATTTTATTTTTACATGTATGTCCGCACATCCATCGTAACATTCTCATCTCTGCTACTCCAACTTTATGCTCTTGCTGTCCCGTTAGAGCCCAGCATTCACTACTATATAGCATTGCCGGTCTGTTAGCAGTGCGATAAAACTTTCCTTTAAGTTTATTAGGCACCTTACGGTCGCAAATAACTCCTTTAGCTTTTCTCCAATTAAACCACCCAGCTTGAATTCTATGTGAAATATCTCCACTGATTTCGCCATCATTTTGAATAATGGCTCCCAAATATCTAAACTTTTTCACTTGATGTATAATTTAATCTCTCAATTTCACTTCCAAATTATTGTCGAATAGTCCTTTACCAAATTTACAATATAAATATTCCGTCTTACTTCTACTCAGACGAAAACCTTTCGACTTCAATGTCCTCCTCCATAACTCAAGTTTGCAATTATTCTGCTACTCAGAATAAATGAGACAACATAAGCTAAAAAGAAAGGAAAGCAGGAATATATTACTTACCTTGGTTAGAAGTTAACACGTTAATGACCCATGTACAATGGTGTGGATCTAACAGTTTGGACACTGCCAACAATTTTGATAGAGTAAAACTAGCATTTATACATATTAGCCATTCCCCCACCCATTAACAAGAGGCTCATCAAACATCATTCAAGGGACTTTGACCATAAAGCTCGTGTCAACTAACTCAAATCTTCTCATAACTCTAGCTTAAAGTGAGAAAGTTAACACCCTCAAAGGCTCAAACCATAAACATAATGGACTTTGTTTTTGCTATTATTAATTCAGAAGTAGGAGATGATTCTTGGAAAAAGACATGATTTGACAGTAGCTTGTCAAAATCAGATATAAATAAGAAGACATGTCTTTTACTGCTAGGGCTTGAATCAAGTCGCTGGTTGAGTGTATATTTTGTAGAGATTCCCAATTCAAATTCCTAACATTTCCCAATGCACCGATATCGAAAAAGGGATTGGTCTTGACATAGTTACATCGCAATGCACTCTATTAAGGTACTAGAATACCAGAGAGACTTCCCAAAGTTTATTAATTCACCTAGCTCCTACATAGAAATGATTGAAGCTTGTATTTTATTGAAATTTATGCTACAGAACAGCCATATCCTTCCATAAATCCTGTCGTAAGCCACCAAATTCGGAGAGGCTTTTAACACAGGACGGTGCCACAGAATAACTAACACCCAGCCACCAGGGTCTTATATTCAAAACCTATCTTTAAATTTAGATTAAAAAAATCCCCCATTTTCATCCCTCAAATAACAAATGTTAGACATTAAGTTACCAGTCAACAGCTATATCACCCGCCCTATATTGCTCCAAGGAACCATTTTTCCAGGCTCTAGCAACCCAGAGGGCAGAAATCTCCTAAAGAATCTAAATATCTTCAATATTTTTTTCAAAAAAAAAAAGGTACAAAGGATGGTTCAGAGATCCAGTCAGTTGGAGAAATCACTAGGTTCCAAACTTGCAACCAAAATAATAGGGTCATCACATGGTTGCCACTCGGCATGCACTAATGGAAAAAAGGAGCTCTGCCACTCAATTACTAAAAACTTATCCGTAAAATTATTTATTGCGAGGAACTTAGGATCCAGGGCCTTCAACATCTAATTCCCACAACAGAACTAAGACTTTAACCCTAGAAGTTCCAGCTGAGAATGAACTCAATTTTACTTGGACTTTCGTCCGTATATTAACTTAACACCAAGGAAAATAATCCAATCCACGGATATCTAGACATACACATACCAGGAGAAAGAAATTCCGTTGAAGATTTTTCCAAGCATAAAGGCCTACGGTTTATAAAATGATTACTCAATTGCACTAAAACTCATAACTGAAGCACAAAAAGTCTTAACATTTGGCTCCTTCCGCACTAAACGGACTTCAAACATAAAATGCCCCCTTTTAATTAGAAAAAATAGTCAACTGAGAGTAAGGTAGCACTAAATATTAAGTGCATCGTTTCATCCTCTATTTAATCAGATCGATAAAATGGGTTGCATTACTCTCAAACTGAACCTAAGTAAAACAGAAAGAGAAGCTTTCACACGGAAATCGAAACCGAAAATGAACATCGCACACTTCCGAAAATTCAAAAGCAAATATACAATCAACGGCATCAACAGAAAGTGAACGACGAAAACCCAGGAAAATAAAGGAAATGAAAGCCAGAAGAAGATCTTACATGATGTTCTTCTCGGAGAATCAGGAAATTCCGCAGATGACTTCGCGATGGAGCACACAAGAGCTCCTTGAACCCGAAAAAAGGTGCAGCTTCTTCTTCTCCAAGCAAGTTTTGTTGGGTCAATGAATTGGGCCTCTTTCTCTTTTTGGGTACAAACGGCGAACTTGGAAGGTTGGTTGGGTCGGGTCGTCTAACAACTCCTAGGGCCCAAGTTTCTTGAATAAAAAAATATGGATTGGCTGTTAAAAAAGGCTAAAGCACAAAAAACGCAAACAACAAATAATTTACTGTTTATTGATTTTCGGATTTCATTATATTTTTATGAAACTCTGTATTTTTCTAAATATTGTTTCATATTTATAAATTTTCAAACAATACTCAAAGTAACTTTATAAAATAATCAAAAATATTTTTATAATTTTGATTATTTTTATACATCCTACAATTTTTCAAGAGTAGTTTTTTCAGAAAAAATAAGCGATTTAAAAAAAAAAAAACTAGCCCTGTATTCCCTTATATCTAGAAGGATTAATCGATAAATAAATATTTTTTTCAGAAATAAACCACAATCCGATTTGTTTGATGTTATAAATTAAAGTAAAATACTATTTATTATTTTATATAAAAACTGTCAACGTCCTTTGTATACTATACATAATTTGAGAAATGAACTATCTATTTATACTTTATAAAACAATCAGACTTTATAATCCAAAGAAAAGGAAAACAAAGAACTTGTTTGAAATTTTTTTTTTGTTTTATTATTTTAAAAACTGATATTTTATAAAATATATTATAAGAATAAAAAAATAATAAAAATACATATTTTTTGCATTCTTTTTTCATTCTTTGAAACAATTATATGAAAACATTTAAAAGATATTTTGGCTTTTCTATTCTCTAAAATAATACTCTCTTCATCTCAAATTATTAAACACTTTTGAGAGAGATTTTTTGTCCCAAAAAATAAAACATTTTAAAGATATTAATATTTTATTAAATAAGCTTATTCAAATATTACTCATTCTCTCTCTATTTAATACTAATTAAGTGTATATTTAAGGTTATTAAATAAAAGATATTTTTTGAAGTTTCTAATTTTTTTAAAAAAATAAAGTTGCTGAATGTATTTAATTAAATTTATTGATATATAAAATTTTATATAAAAATATCTTATAATTTAAAATAGAGAAATTATTTAATTTTTTTATTTTCTTAAATATTTTTTAAAAACGCATTATCCAACAATTTTTTTCTTAAAAGCTCATTAAAAATTTAGGAGCTCTGTCTTCTTCTTCTCCAATGCCATTTTCTCAATCTCCTTCTCATAGGGCAAAGGCAAGTGCACTACAAACTGCCTCTCGTGTTCCTTTAATTTCTCCCTCATCTCTCTTTCCTTCTTCCTCTCTTCCTCCTCTTCATGCAACAGCTCCCTTGCTGCTGCAGTCGCACTCAAAGTTACCGCTTCCCCAGTCTTCACACTCTTCCAATCTAATTATGGAAATTAATCCAAAATTCCATCATCATCTATTATGGAAATTTCTTTGCAGCACCAAAATATAGGGCCACGCCCACCTAGATTAGGAACATGTACGATATTGCTCTCCAAATCTGTCATCTTCATAAAGTGTCTGGTATAATTGCGGCCACCAAGCTCAATGATTCCCCGTTCCCAATGACCGTTTTCTTGTATGAGCTTGTTGGTTTCATCATCGAGGTGCTCGCCTTGACCCTCGTTTTGAATCTTGGCGATCTTGCGTCCAATATCTCACGTGATCTACTGGCGCCATTTGTCAGCCTCTGTGAGGTCATGGCACTCAGGTCTTGGGCTTCTTTTTCCCCTTAGCTTTGAGGGCAATGTAGCAATTGAGCATTGATTGAGCCTTCTCTTCATCACGAACTATCTTCCGAAACCAATAATCTGATTCAGAATTCTACTTCCTTCCTTCTTCTCTTTACCAGTTCGAAGGTTTTCAGAGCTCTCCTCTCCTATCGTACCTTCTTCGAGTATCTAAATTCCCAAATCAATCTTCAAAACCCCAATGGCCCAACCCTGCGACGCAATACAAACCTGAGCAGAAAAAAAATTCTAAACTAAATTAACAAGCTTTAACAAAAAAAAAAAAAAAGGCTGCTAGAGTATATATTTGAAATTTCTACCTGGGAAGCCCCCTGTTCTGGTAAAATCACTACCAATTCTAATAATTACTAAAAGCTCATCATAACATAAAACAGAAAATCAGTACTAATTCTGGTAATATACATATTAGCCATTTCCCTACCCGTCGACAAGAGGCTCATGGGTCATCATCATTCAAGGGACTCTAGCCATAAAACTCATGTCAACTAACTCAAATCTTCTCGTAGCTCTAGCTTAAAGCGAGAAAGTTAACATCCTCAAAGGCTTAAACCATAAGAATTTGTCTAGACATAAGTAGAGCGCAATTCACGCTACAAAGGTATTAGAATATACTAAAGAGACTTCCCAAAATTTAATTTTAAATACGTGGATTTTAAATATGAAACTATAGTACACCCATATACTTCCATAAATCCTGTCTCGAGGCACCAAATTCTGAGAGGCTTTTAACACAGCGCCCAGCAATGGAATAACCAACACTCAACCACTAGGGTCTTATATTCAAAACCTAGCTTTAAATTTAGATTAAAAAAAATCCCTCATTTTCATCCCTCATAACAAATGTTAGACGTTAAACTACCAATCAACAGCTATATCACCCGCCCAATATTGCTCCAAAGAAACATTTTTCCAGGCTCTGGCAACCCAGAGGGTAGAAACATCTCCTAAAGAATCTAAATACCTTCAATATTTCTTCAAAAAAAAAAAAAGGTGCAAAGGATGGTTCAGAGATCCGTGTAAGCTGCAGGAGAAATCACTAGGCTCCTAACTTGCAACCAAAATAACAGGGTCATCTCATGGTTGCCACTCGGCATGCACTAAGTAAAATGGATTGCATTACTCTCAAACAACCGAACCTAAGTAAAACAGAGAAGAGAGCAGTATCCAGGAAGCTTTCACACGAAAATAGAAACCGAAAATAAACATCGCACACTTGTCATTCGAAATATACAATCAACAGCGTCAACAGAAAGTGAGGGACGAAAACCCAGCAAAATAAAGAAAATGAAAGCCAAAAGAAGATCTTACATGATGTTCTTCTCGGAGAATCAGGACATCCCGCTGGTGACTTCGCGATGGAGCAGACAATAGCTCCTTGAAAAAAAAAAAAAAAAAAAAAGGCTCCCGCACAGCTTCTTCATCAGCATTCGCCAAGCAAGTTTTGTTGGGTCACTGAATTGGGCCTTCCTCTTTCTCTTTTTGGGTAGAAACCGCGAACTTTGAAGGCAAAATGGATTGACATTTACTAAAACGAAGAGTCCTTTTTTGTATTAAAACAAAAAAAGAATCACAGGAATGATTTACTGTTTACTTATTTTCGGATTTAATCATATCTTTATGTAACTCTGTATTTGTTTTTTTAAAAAAAAAATCTCTTATTTACAAGTTTTCAGAAACAAGTAAAACAACTTCATAAAATAATCAGAAATATTTGTTTTTTAATAATTTTTTGATTATTTTTATAAAATTTTTAAACATCCTAAAATTTTTCAAGAGTAGTTTCTTTTTAAAAAAAATTAAGTGATTTTAAAAACAAACAAGCAAACAAGGTCTATACACCCTTATATTTAGAAGGATGAATCGATAAGTAAATATTATTTTCAGAATTAAATCAAAGCTTCTTGATTTAAAGGATGAATTAAAGTAATTTTATATAAAAACTATCAAAGTCTGTGGTATATTGTATAAAATTTGAGAAGTGAACTGTTTGTTTATAACACATATATAAATAATCAAACTTAAAAACCCAGAGAAAAGGAGAACAAAAGCAAAGCTGACAAAACCGCTCATTAAGATACATATTCGAATCCTTCTTTAGAAGGCAAGCAATCTCATATTTATAAATCTGCTTAATTTCTCCTGGTGCAAATTCTGAGGGCTTCCTGCCTGGTCATGTGCAAATGTATCGGTTATGAGACATGAGACATGTATTGCAGTATATGTACATTGTATGAATAAAACTAGATCTGGAAAATTTACCTCAAAAAATAAGACTAAAAATATGGCTTGAATCGTATCGGTTAACTCATAAAAGTTGGAAAAAAATATAAGTTAGATGGAGTCCAGTTAATTTTTTTTATAGGTTAGAATTTTTTCAACCCAACCTAATTGTTATGAGTTGATAGATTAAACAGGCCAACTTGTTAGCTCATATAATTTTTGATGAATTTAAAAAAAAAAAATCATCTAGATAATAAGTTCCAATAAGGAGGTGCATACAGCACATCACCGCATCCTGCTATCTAATATTAAATCTTAGATAGTTATATAAAAGAAATGTTGCCTGATATGCTGTGTCATATTATGTGATGAAATTACCTTGTAATGAATAAAGTAAAAGTGAAATATATATTATCGTTGCTAATATAGACTTTTGTGAGCAAGGAAAAAGCACCGGCCAAGCACAAACGGACAAGAGTCCCGATAACTTTTTAACTGCTCCAGATCATCAATATGAATTTATAAAGAGAGGAATGGGTTGTTAATTTGATCATCAATTCAATGAATGTATAAATTTTTCCATATCACTATTATTGATTGATAGTTGTAGGTTATTTTAAATTACATCATAATCAATTTGATATCTGCTTGGTTATTTCAATATAAATTTTTAAACGATCAATGTCATAACCATCAGTATATATATTTTTGAAATTATCATACTTCCGACAATTACAATTTAATTAATCTGCCCATTATGATTAAAAATAATTTTAATTGATACTTTTTTAAAAAAAATATGATTGATGATTTCGGAACTGACGTTTTTTGACTTTTAAAGAACTATTAGTTTTTTAAAATGGTTAGCTCATTAAAAAATATTCATGGCCAACTAGGCAGTACCATATATTCCGATATATTGAGATTCGAGTTCATGCAATTTGGTTTCCTAATTCCAAAGCACTCACGGGTATGCATTGCACTGACCGAATCACCCGCACATCCTCAGAGAACCTAAAAGACAAACATCAATTCAGAGAAAAGAATCTTTTATATGATTCTCACAATTGATGATCCATCATTTTTATCAGAGGTGGAGGAAAAAAAGCACATTATAAGAAAGAAACACAATGTTTCATCACGTAGTACACTTTTTTTTTTGCTCTTTGATCATAGAACATCGATTTGATGTCCAACTTCAATGACGAAAGCTAAAAACACTACAATTAAGTTTCTTCAAAGTTCAAACAACAACCAATCCCAGACATGCATGGATGAATTATTTGATGCGAAAGCGATCCAATCCCTGCAAAAAATAGCCAAACTCAAACTATATCAGCCTTCAGTAACATTACATGTTCATATTAAAACCAATCTGAATTGGTTGGTACTTGGTCAGATCCCGTGACCCAGTCTACTAACTGATCTGTTAAGAGTTTTAGATCATTACGCTTAAACCACTCGTTTACCAGTTTAATGAAGTCTAGGTTTCAGTTGTGTGTGTGTGTGTGTGTGTGTGTGTGTATCGAGCTCCAATACTTAGAAAACAAAACAGATGTGTGAGATGAGTATTATACGTACGTACATTGTTAATTAGCTGGGCAAACACTGAAACCCTTGTGGAGGAACTTTGCCACAGTCAATGAGGACCTGAAGAGCGATGGGAAGAACGATATTGATATTCAGAAGCTTCAACCTAATGGTAGTGCACAGACACACTGCAGCGTCTAAGTCGAGAAGTCCTCCAAGCACAGGGCAACATGCTTGTTTTGCATTTTCTCCGATTCCAATGTGTATCAAACCTCCCAGCACATCCACACACGCCCCTAGCTTCAAGCTATCGATTGGGCAAGTTGGTTGTGCCGGCGGCGATGGCGGCACGTACGGTGGTGGTGGACACGGTGTTTGAGATGGCGGAGATGGAGGTGTCACAACGGGTGGTGGATTTATTATTACTGGTGGTGTAGGTGGAGTCACAATAGGAGGCACATAAGGCGGCGGTTTCACGATAGGTGGCAACACAACCGGCGGGTTAGGAACAGAAGGTGGTGACGGCGGATTCACCACCGGTGGGCGAGGTACATATGGTGGGTTCACAACCGGTGGTGTTGGGACATGTGGAGGGTTCACAACCGGTGGTTTCGGGACATACGGTGGGTATACAGGTGGTTTTGGGACATACGGTGGCTTCACAACCGGTGGTTTTGGGATATACGGTGGCTTCACAACCGGTGGTTTTGGGACATAAGGTGGCTTCACAACCGGTGGTTTTGGGACATAAGGTGGCTTCACAACCGGTGGTCTCGGTACGTACGGTGGCTTCACAACCGGTGGTTTTGGTACATACGGTGGTTTAGTATGAGGAGGTTTTGGGACGTGATGATGCGGTGGTTTTGGGCCGTATGGCGGTTTAACGACTGGCGGCTTGCCGTGATGAGGAGGTTTCGGGGAAGAGGAAGGTGGTGGACAGGGCTTATTAGGGTTTCCACCATAAGGAGGAGGACGATGAACAGGAGGCTTCTTGACTACTTTAGGAGGGTGGTATTTTGGAGAAGGGTAGGGGCAGTATGGGCAAGCGAGAGCAGTGAGCAATGAACTCAAGCTCAAGAGCAAGATGAAAAGATTTGACACAGAACGATTCGCCATTGTTGGAGAGAATCATTCACCAACTTGCTCGCTTCGGACAAAGTAGCTGGTGAGTGAACTGTTGTGAACCCTAGAGGGTGAAGCCCTAGTTATATATTTGTGTGTTGAGGGTCATGTAGTCACGGACGGATGGAGACTTGTCGTTTTATAAATCTCACTGTGCCGCTAGTTGCAAGTAAATTTTTTTATCTTTATAATGACTCATTGACTTCAAGGACGATTTTCAGAGATTTTTAAGGGCGGCGTAAATTAAAAGTATTTTTGCAATAATCAGTGGCAATTTAGATATGCACTTGATGATTCCTGGTTTGAAGGCTTTTCTTACTCTCTTTCATTTCAGATCATGGACTTCTTGCGTTAATTGAACTGTGAAGCTTGTTTTGGTTATTATTAGGAGCAATAAAACAATCAGATTGAGTGGAAATGATGATCCGATGCTTCTAAAAATTAGGTTTGGATTTGACTGCTATTTGAGCATTATTAGCTAAAAAAAATATGCTACTATAGATCAGTCACATTCATGTTGACATGAAAATGCTTGGATTTGAATTAGCTGAATATGAAACTTGGTTTGGTTATTAGGAAACATTGAAGATGGAGATGCATGATATTTGATTTGATGTTTGGATTTTATTTCTATGCTAATTCATCACTTCTTAGTTGTTGTTTTTTTTCTCAAAAAAAGTTCGGGAGTTAATGCATGCCTCGAGTACATTTATAAAAGTATTTATAGATAATCTATTAACAAAATTTTTACATAGATATAGCAGATAATTTGAACTTACATACATTGTTACATGCTAGTTGTATCTTTATTAATCAGATTAACATTTATTTTTCTATGTTTAAATGGCATTTTTATTTTAAACTATCCAAAATTAATAATTTTGATTAATTAAATAAGTTATTTAAATAATATAAGAATGCAATAAATAAACATTAAAAGAGGCGTGGTGAGGAAGAAACAGTGATAAATATAGCATGCATTTCATTGAATTTGAATAAATATATGGTTCCAAGTGACACTGACAATCATTATATAGATTCAAATTGGCAAATTACGCAAGTTAATTTGTTTGGTTGATGGGATCAAGCAATTCAAGAGATTAAATACAATCTTCTGGCCAGAAAAAAACAAACGGATTAAATATAATTAATTTTACAAAGAAAATTTTTAAATGATGGATACTTTCAAAATATGAGTGGGCCAAACATACCGTCTTGAGGAAATGACTATATAAACTTTATTATTTCTAATTTTATCTTATAATTAATTAATAATCAAGCAAAACCAAAAGAATATTAATCGCAAAGAAACAACACAGTTAGCGGCTTTGTAATCAAGTAATCACCGCCTTGATGGGTTTGGATTCACGGAAAAGGTTGAAATCAAACTAAAATAAGAAATTCAAGAGCTGGAAAGTCCAAGATCTGAGCATGTTAGGTACAATAGAAATAAGACAACGTGGTTTAATTAATTTATGCTACATAACATTTTTTTTTTTTAACATGTTGTGACTGCTAGCTAGAGTGCTAGTTGCCTTTTTACTATTGTGCCCGTGAATGATTGATGATGAAATGTACGAAAAAGGATACATACACAAACATTCCCCTAAATTTTAAAACAAATAACTTTCATCACTTAAAGAGGCTCATCTTCTATCCTTTTGGTATGATTTATTTTCCGATTTTTACCACTAAATTATTTCTAATTAAGTAATGTCGATCTCGTTAAACTTAAGGTGGATATGTGTGTGTGTGTGTGTGTGTGTGTGTGTGTGTTGTATTGCTTCTTCTCATGTAGAAAATCTCTCAACTTAATTAGAACTAGCCCTTCTCTTGAATCCTTAATGAAAATTATGTCAATGGAAAGCAAGCATGAACTTGGAGATTTTCTTTTATTAATTATCTCATCAATAATTCTCACACAATAATTTTAGCACCTCATGATGTCCTTTATGGCTTGAACATAATATGCATATGGGAGGTATCAGCATCTTTCTTCCATATGACTTTCTACAACAAGTATCTTGCTACTCAATCAGTTTTATTTTTATTTTTTTTATAAATGAGTGAAGGGGAAAGGTGCACTTTGCTCCTGAATTATTTTTTTAGAATTACCCCGTATTTTAAATCATTTGTTACAATTTTTTTCTAAAATAATTAGATCAAAGCATCTCAATCATGTTGTTAAATCTCAAAACATCTGTTAAAATGTTTTTTTATTCCAAGTAAGCTTTATCTAATGGATGTTTATGAAAATTTAATTAATGGGCAATGTAAAAGGATGCTCTAATTTAATTTTTAGGGTATTGGGTGCTTTTAAAAATTATTTTAAGAATAAAAATGTATATTTATTCACAAATGATCATCCTTTTTTTTGAAAAAAATAACGATGAAGGATTACTAGAGGAAAAATATATCAATTAAGAGGCAATTGTTATCAAAAGATAAATGGAAAAGATTTCGAACGAACAGTTATTAATTTAAAATAAATTCTTGTTAAAACTTAAATGAATATTTGTTGATAAAAGACTAACTCGAATCGATAAATATTTATTTAAATTTTGACAATAAATAATCTTTAACTGATATAAATTTTTTTCAGCCGTATTTGATTAATATTTCCCCCCTCCTTTTTTTGCCATAGTGAATGAACAGCTTGTAAATTTCTATGCCTATTGCAATACCTTTTCATAAACTCTTGTAGGAGATAAGTGGCCTTTGTTGTGGAGTATTCTAACATAAATCCAAATCTGCTCTATGAAATACAAGTCTCATTTTTTAATCCATGCTTAATCATTTCTTCCATTATTTCATAATGTGACTCATAAATTAATCTTGTCCCTAGTAATTTGCATAACTTTAAATTTTCCTCCTATTCTAGTGTCTGTGTAACAAAGTGATGATTCTCTTAGCTCCATTTCTCTAAGGCCATGTTTGGTAGTATTGAATTGGTAAGGTAAAAATAAAATTAGAGATGAAATCCTAATTTAAACATAATTGGTATGCAAGAGTTGTAATTCCTAAGAATCCTAATTCCACCAAAAATATTAGAATTCAATTTCATCTTATTGACCATGGAATTGCTTCAATTCCTTTGAATTCAATTTGTAGGTTCCACTATCCTCATCTTTTTTGTCCATTTATAACAAGGTAGGTCTTTTAATTTTGAGAAAAAGGGCAATTTGGTCTTTTTTATTTTAAGTACATATACAAATTAATATTATATTAGAATTTCATATTCATACCAAACACACTTTTAAAACTCAATTTTATTCTGATTCTGATTCCGATTCTAACTCCGATTCTGATTTTAATTTCATTAAAAACTCTTATGTCATACCAAACAAGGTCTAACATCTTCTTAGACCTGAAATTCTCATTAATGAGGAAACAAATTCTTGAGTCATGTGCAAATAATTCTCCTAAATTGTATATTACATACAGTGGCGAACTCTCTGTTATATTAGATTAGTGAATTGAATATAAATAATAGAAAAGTTAATATATAGCAAGGAGTTAGTTTCATAAATTTAAAAATTTAGGGAATACTTTCTTATCAAAGTTATTAAAGCGCAGGACCATTATGTGTATATAAATCTAAAGTTTGGAGAATTATGTATAAATCAATTAAAAAAATTAGGGTTTGAGGGACGAGGCAAGGAAAGTCGTAACGATGATGCCTAAATTGAAGGCACACATGTGAAGATGGTCATACTTTGCAACTTGTTGCAGAGATTCCAGGAATTAAATATTAATTGTTAATGGGAATATGACAAGAAAGGAGATCTGTCATAGTGAATGACAGGTCTTTTTCTTTGAATTTAGTCACTATCCCATACATATCCCTATCCAAATTCCTCCATAAATATAAATTAGAGTGTGTGCATGTGTGTGTGTGATATAGTGATATTTAGGATCTCGTAAGCAAGTGTGGGCTTTAGTCAAAATATCATCATCTACAGGGCTAAATGTTCTTGTCGGTCTTAAAATGTTGAAGCCTACTAGGCTAGTTGATTAAAGATTTAGATCTTCAAATTAGCAAATGCCTTTAAAATAAGATTAGTAGAGAGATAAAAAAAATTTGGATACTAAAAACTACGATCCTGTCTAAAGTATAAAACACTTTTGACTAATTTATAAAGATTAATAAATTAATTTAAACTTATGTGCATCATTAAAATGATAAAAAATCATTACTTTTTAAAATTAACTTCCAATTAATATGTATCTGCAATACAATTAATAAGGGTATTTGTTACAAAAAAGAATTTCATGCCATTAGTTTTTTTGAAAAATGTATATCCTACATTTTATAACTAGTAAAAAATGTCTTGATTATATTTTGGATAAGGGAGTATTTGGGTAAGGATATTTATATTTTGAGTTAATAGTCTGTGAATTATTTTTGGAGATATTTAAATCTTCTCAATTTTTTAGTATAATTTTTTTTTATAGAATTGAAAAGGAAAGACTTCATAAAAGGAGAGAAATTAATTTTCTCCTTCTTAGATTGGCCTCATATGTTTCATTCCCTTTAAATTCCAGAACTTTAATTAAGAGATTCCTACATAAGATTGACAAATTTGAAGAAGCTTGGCAATTAGACAAACATATTAGTCCGAGATGAGATTTAAGCCCCTAAACACAAGAATGTAAAAGTTTGCCCTAATTTCTATAATCTCTTTAATTATCCAATTAAGCCAACCTTGCTTTAGCTATTACTCATTTTGTGCACCTATTTTTGACATTATCTTCTGTCAGGATGAGATTACCCAAGTGTAATTGTTTATGAGTTAAAATATATTAAAAATAAATTTAAAATTTAAATCGGTTGTGAGCATATAATTTAATGTCTAAATTGTCATTTAATTCAAAAATATATTTTGTAATTTGTAATTTTGTAATGAATTAAACTCGAATCGTTTGTATTCCTTCATTTCTTTTCCTTTTAATTACTATGTTCAGCCTAGGGCTAAAGAATTGGGGGAAAATTTCGTACTTATATCCCTTTTTATAGCTTTTTTTTTTAAATCTTAATTATTCTACCATATATATGATCCAAAAGATCAAAATTTGCAGCTACGAAACTTTCAAAAAGAAAAAAGAGGGAAAAGAAGAAGTAACTAAGAACTTGGGAGTCTTCGTTTATCACTATTGCTAACTCTGAAAAATTATTGATATGCTCGGTTATATAAAAAGAGAAAAGTAGAAAGCGACGGCCGATGACTCTGTCTCATGAATAACAGCAAAGAAAGAACACTTCACTGTATAAATTGGGACTGTGTAAAAATCCTTCAATCTTGTTTGATCTAATTTAATTTAAAATAATTTTACTTTTTTTATCCATATAAATGCTAATCCTTTAAAATCAAAATGATTAAAAAAAATTTTTAGACTAAACTGGATAAAAAACTAAGTATTTAGACTACTTGATCTAATCCAGTCCTATTAATTAATTTATTATAATTATAATTTATTTATTTTTGATAATTGTATGAAAATTTATTAAATTTGTTTTTAAATTATTGTTGTAATGTAGTGTTGTTAAAGTTTGTTGAGTGTTGTTTTTATTAAAGTTATAAATTTAAACCACTTGAACTATAACAGAAATATTTTTTTTCTTATTGTTGAAAATTATTATGAATTATTATTATTATTATTATTATTATTATTATTATTATTATAATAAGTATTTTTACTATCTTAATTGAGTTTATTTAGTTGAAATGGATTATTGCCTTTCATAGAGAAAAAAGGGAGAAAAAAAGTTAAGTAAGTACTGGACTAATAGAACCAGTCTCTCAATTTTGTAAACCAAGTCCAATCCTGTTAATTTTTAGATTATTACTAGATAAAATTGGATTATAAATTATCTAATCCTATCTTTTTCATGAAAGAGATTGGACTTTGCATTAAGGCGAAGTCCTGTCCTTTGTACAGTGCTAGTATATATATGTATGAAGTGGGGTTAAAAGTTAGTGAGTGATACACGTATTCATTCTTAGGTTTGGTATAATTTTATATTTTAAAATGCTTTTTCTATAATTTCATGCTCCAATATGTAATGATACAATAAAAAAACACCATCTTCAAAATGAGCTTGAACTTTAATTATCGTAGTTGACTAGTTAAACAAAGCATGAAACACAGGGCTTTCCATTCTAATGCTTAGAGCTGCAGATACTTTTTCTTTGAGGCCTCATTGCCGTAAAGTCCTTTCACTTATTCAATAACAATGATGGTTATACTGTAAATAAATAGACAATATCATAGTAGAAAAAACAATTATTCTTTATAAATTACAAGGGTAAAATAGTGAAAGTAATCAACGCTCCAATAGGCAATACTGATACACAGCTGACAGCTGAGCCTGAACGTACACCAACACAATGAAAAGTTACATCAAAAATTTCGATTTATATATGTGCAAATAATACATAAGGATTTCATTTAAGTCCCCCAAGTTCCACTGAAAAAGCCTTGAGGCAGGGCAGCTAGGTCATCATGAAGTGGCATTTCTGAAAGCCTGCACCAATGTACACTTGAATATCACATTCTGTTATTATTTATCCCGATTTTCTTAGTAAAAAACAGAGTAATTATCTGAGATATTACCAAGAAAAACGATTTTCTAATTTTTTAAATAAAAGAATAAAATACTTACTTGGATCTACAGTGACAAGCATAGCGGTGCCTCCAAAATCACAAGTTCCTCCAGCCGCCTTCCTGTTCTGCCAATAGCTATTAAAGGCATAGGAAGCATGGGCCAGCATTGTATTGGGCTCATAGCATGGCCCATTAGGCTGAATCTCCTTGCAATCCGCACCTGACCCACACGCATAGTCCATGGCCTGTTTGATTATCGGGTCCGGCACAGTGGGCTTTGCAACACACCAATGACCTGAAGACTGCCGCCTTTTATTATGTGGCGGAGGAGGAGGAGATGACGTGGTTGCTGTTGACGGAGACGGCGGAGGTGGGGACTTCAGAGGTGGTAAATAACCCATTGGCGAGCTTGGTCTGTGTTTTGTTGGTGGGCTTGGGCTTGGGCTTTGAGTGGTCTCTGGAGGAGGAGGCGGAGGCCCATGATGATCATGCGGAGGGTTTGAAATAACAGGGGAATGCTCAGGAAGACTTGGAGGTGTAAATGGCAGATACGGAGAGGAAGAAGAAGAAGGCGTGGGCTGAGGAGCCTGTGAGCTGAGGGGAGGAAGTGATGAAGAAGAAGGAGAGCCATATGAATCATCAATGCTTGAAAAGCTGAACAATGGAGAGTTGCTTGTGTCTAGGAAGTGATTCAGTGATTTCAGGGTCTTCCTTGGCCTGTTGGAGGAGGAGATTCTATGGCTTAATTTCGGATTCTGGAAAATTCGTCCATGGCTTCTTGCATCTTCTATTCAACACACACAGTTTACAGGAATCAACAGAAAAGCTGTTAATTAGCAATACTTCACTGAATAAGCATTATTGATATAAACCACAATCGGGTCTCATGCATCACAGAACTCTCCTAAGTTTTTTCTTGATTAAAAAAATATTCGGGTAAGCTGGAATTTAAGGATCTATTAGGATCGAGGCATGCTTACAGAAGTATTTGAATGTCGCTTATCAACAAAATTCTCAAATTAACAGTATTTAACCCACAACTTTGTAGATCATAAATCATATCTTTACCAACTATTGATCACTATTTGTTGGCTAATTCGAGATGTAATTTGTCTAATGTATGCCAGAGATTGTACACACGTATATAGATTTATGCTACTTAATTTAAGAATTTAAACAAGTTTAGCTACTTTTGAAGAAAGAGTAGCCAAAATATTTTTTAAGCTTTTGATGGAAGAAGATCTGAATTTTGAAATTGATCATGCAAAACCAAATTGTCAAAATATATTTTATAGCTAAGGGAGTGATAAAATATAGTAATCAAATGAAATTGCAAATGAAACTATAAGAATTGGAAATGAATTCACAAAAATAGTAATAATAATAATAGGAACTAAACACAACCATACAATAAAGAGAAAATGTGATGATTGTGACATATAAATGTTGAAAAAATGCGTAGATAATAAAAACTAGCTGTGAATACTGAATATTTACCACAGAGAAGGACAACAGAGGAAGCCACAAGGAAGAAACATAGAATTGCAATGCTGACTCTGAATCTCAGGGAATGGTCTCTTGTTGAATCCATTGCATTATATATAATGAAATATATAGTTTGAGTATATTAGAACCTCACAAATTTCTTGTTCAAGATTGCAACCAAGCTTCAGTTCTCCTATGAAGCAGAGACGCTTAGCAGACAGGTGGACTTAAAGGCCACACACATATATATAGCAGCAATAAAGAGAGAATCTGTTAATAAAGATGATATTCATTCATTCTCACGTTAATGTGCTGCTTGTGTCTGATTCTTAAAGCCAGAGACAAGCAAAAAACAGTGTGTAGGAAAGTGTGTTGCAAGCAGAAAAGTATAAAATTGAGGTGATTCAGCATATATATACACTTTATTTTGCTTGTATGCTACTCAAAGAACTAGATCTAGAGACACACGATCAACCGTAATCTAATTACTTTAGTGAGTGAGCTTCCAGAAACATGTATAACTGGGTAACAGTAATTTAATCCAAAGCATCTATTTTTTTTTTTTTAAAAATGAATTGGAGTGTTTTATGGCGATATGTCGTCTAGGCCATATTTACTATATATGCTTTGTTGCCAAAAAAGATAATAACATATTTACATATTACTGTCAAAATTGCTTAGATCATCCATTATCATTCATAACAAAGGTATTTTTGAGATAATTGCCAATGATAATAACAATCTTACATAACAAAGGTTTGTATTAGTTTCACTAGGAAGTAACAATGTTCTAAGTTTTTCAAAATATTGGGCAATGGAATTTAAAAAAAATAGTAAGGGATTAGCACCTGAAAAAACTCCAAGGTAAATTTTGCGATATTAAAAGAGAAAACTTAATTGTGAGAAATAATGTAAATTTAGCAATAGTATGATAGACCGGAAAATAATAATGGCACAAGTATTATCGCTATTTTCTTTTACGAAGATCAATTTTTATTAAAAGTAATGGGTCAAGTATTATCACAATATGAGAAGGGATTATGGCATTAATTTGCCACTAAATAATGAAATATTAATTGGTTTCTGCCGGTATTAATTTTTTTGTTGTCTACTCACATTTATCTCCTCACTAAATTTGTTTGGACATTCACATTATTATGTTTGTTGTTCCCTCTGTAGCCAATATTATCATCTATCTACTTGGCAAAAAGAAAAAAGAAAAAGAAAAAGAAAAAACAACATTACCATTGTCAAGCGTTGAGAATATGGGCCTAAATCGGTGGTTGGCCCAAAAAATGTGGTTGGCTTTGCAATTCTGCAGCCCACGTAAAATTAATTGAATTTGGGTTTCAGCTCCCATAACTTTGGGTTAAGGTTGGTTTACTTAACCTAAAAGTTGACCTATTTAATAAATTTTTCTATTTTATTATTTGTGGTAGATGGAAATAATGATGAGAATTCAACTTCAATTGTTGATATTCTGCCTAGGCATGATTCGAATGTCATTGTTGATAAAAAAAAAAAGATAACTAACATTGTTGTAAATTGAAGGACAATTTCTTTGTTTGATTTGATCATATTGACATTTGACTTTGAATTTTGACGGATTTTTTTTTAGTTGTAATGTTTGATAGATTGGATTTTGGAATACATTTTCTGGTGCCAGAACTTTGACAAAAAAAAATGTGAACATAATTTTGCGATTCTCCAGCGTCTTGGAAATTATGTTAAAAATACATATAATATTTTACTACATTGGGTCCCTGTACCCGGATTGTTCTATGTTCAATTGATTATTAATAAAATATAAATGGTTTTATAGTAGTTTAATAGGGAAAAAAATCCGTTTATCAGGAACAATTAAAGCCAACAATTAATGAATTGCATCACATGCTCTGATGCTTATGAGGAGAAGAATAGTGCATGGGAAACATGCACAAATTTAATAAGCATATTGAAATGAGGATTGTTTTGGAAAATAATTCAAATTTCAAACAATTTTTAACGACGTTAACTAATTTTAACTATATTCCTTAATAGAATAAGGTAATGATTGTTTTTTTTTTTTGGGTACTGGCATTAAGGTAATGATTAATGAGCAATGAAGTGGCTTTATGAAGCCATGCAATTGGGTTAATTTTTTTTTTTAAAAAAACCTACGCTAAATTAGTTGTCCGCTCTTTTTGTCTTTTAGGCACATGTTTTAACTACTTTAGTTTTGCATTTGTTGTAAAATGTAACGTACCCTATAATAATTAAGATGACAATTGATAAGTGAAAAATAAAATCTTTCCTTTTAATATAATTTGTGAATTACATGGATGAATGGTTGAACACATGGTTACATGAGTTTTAAGAGCAATATTGTAATGATGTGAGTTAAAAAGAAAAATCAGAAAATCTTATACCTTTTAACTAACATAAAAAAAAATCATGACAGGCCTGTGCATGATAATAATTGAGATCAATATTAATGGAGGTGTGGATTGTGCAGTTAAATGCTTAGGGAGCATCCAAGAGTCATGGTGTTGGTATTTGAATGTGTTCGTCACTATTGGACTGTTGCTGTAACTTTTTGAAGGAAAGAACTTTGGAGGGATCCTTCTATGACATAATATTGTTTCCGTTGTTAAGGAAATGCATGAAAGGACAATAGGAATTGGAAAAGTTCATTCATCATTCCCTTACGATTCTAAGAAATTAACAGAGCTTTTAGAGTAAATGTGTTAAAGGGGGAGTCCATTGGATGCATCATTCATATGCAAGATTAATTAAAACAGTGATAAAATTGATTATCGTGTTTGCTGTAAGAGAACCCAAATCCATTAAAAAAAAAAAAAAACCTCATGACATTAACAAAATATAATATTAAATTTTTAATTGTAAAAAGAAAAATTTATTAACAATGCATTTTCCAACTTTTAGAATTCAATATAGAATATTTTAATGAAAATAATTATATAATATCATATAATTATTAAGAACTTAAATCTACCAATATTTTCATGCACACTATACCAATTATCTAATTTATTTATATATGAAATCTATTATTTGAAGTTATGAACCAATTATTTTTTTTTCAATGAAATGATATCTTTAAATGTAAAGAAATGGTTCTTGGCAATATTTATATATGGTTGAACTTTTATAAGTATTAACAAGTGGTGTCTTAAATTCCTAACAAGTGAAGCAAAAATTTTTAGATAGGCTTGGTGCATCACTTTATTTGTGGTTTGTTTAATAAAAAATAATTAATATTTAAATATCATTAAATAAAAATTAATTATGATATTAATAATAATAGAAAGATAAAAAGTAATAAATCAAATGTGATTCTGTTATAAGAATAAAATTAATTAAAAAATACTACATAATATTTTATTTTAATTATTTAAAATATTTTAATTGGATAGATTATAAAAGTCGTGCCTCAATATTTCTCACAAGTGGTGCTTTATGTTTTTGTGTAACACCTATTTACCTATCTCAAATGTTGACAAGTGGCTCCTTACATTGCTCACGAGCTTCAGGGATGTAGGAGAAATTTATGCAGGTTACGTTGTTTAATTAATCATTACATTATATTTTATTATATATTCAAAAATCAGTCAGTTTTATCTTCCAAGATTTATAATAATTTGGTAATCATACGTTTATAACCAACCTCTTTGAGCATATCATAAATGAAAAAACAAGCCTCTTATTTGAAATTTTCATTTGTAATATTTGAATTTTTTTTATCTATCAATCAATTTTCCGAAACCGCTGTGTAGACTAACATAGAATATACATATATAAAAGATGGCCAGAATTTCAAAATAATTAATTTTTACAAATTCCTTTAAAAAATTTTATGTGCAATATTTTTTTAGTTTTATATAGACTTTATGATATTTTGCCCAAAAATCCATTTGAATACGATCTTAAAAGAATAACCAATGAAAATAATTAATGAGCAGAGCTACATAACACACTACTGACACATATTGATGTATTAATATGTAAAAAATAAGAATTAAAGAATTTGCATTTACAAAATTGATAATATAAATATTAATTGATTATGATATAGTATTTTTAAAAATTTTAAAAGTTATTCTGTTCATATAATTTTTATATAAGACAATTAAAGATATACACTCGTCCAAATTATCATTCTTATTCAAAATCTTTTCAACGTATTTAGCTATAAACATTATTGATGTGCCTGTCCTGCCAAAACATGAAGGCTCAAGCAGTGCCGTTTCAACCGAATCAATGCCTGTTTGACCATAATCTCATAAACTAATGTACAAATGATCTGATCTTTAATCAGGTGAATAAAATGAAACTATAATTTACAGAGCTTTCTCATAACTCTCATAAAAATTAAAATTATATAATTTGTTTAAAATATTCTTCATAAAAAACTGGTGAGCGTGCAGACTGACAATAACTTTTAGATAAGCTAAGATTTAGAAATAATCGCTAAAATATGCATAGTACATGCACATTTTTTGAGTCATATATATAATTGATTTGGGCTCTGGTTTTTATTAATTTTTATTTTTACAAAAAATGGTAAAATAATAATATTCAAAATTTCAAATCATTAATGATTTACAACTATTTGGATTAAAATGAACAAATTAAAAACACTTTAACAAAATATTTAAATAACTTTAAATGATAAAAAAGAAATATATCGTATATGCATCCTCAAATATACGCACCCAAACGTACGATAATTGATTCCAACACAACAAAAGAAAATTCAACGTAAACCCAACAATGGTTGTGGAACTCATCATTTGATTATTATATTAATGATGGGTTTTGATGAGTCATATTATATATATATATATATATATATATATATCCTCCATTACTTATGAGCACATCAACCTTTGTGCCATTTACTCGTATCAGCAGTTTCAGAAATCTCTTGGTTCTCCAGTGTCTTCTATTAATTACCGACAGACATGGAGGTTACTAGGATTTGCTTCCTTCAAGCTTTCTTCTTCTTCTTCCTGGTCGCATCAAGTCAAGCTTCCTCCACAAGCATCTTTCGAGAATACATAGGTGCAGAGTTCAACAATGTCAAATTCTCCGATGTCCCTGTCAACCCAAATGTCGAATTTCACTTCATTCTCTCTTTCGCTATTGACTATGACACCTCTTCTTCTCCATCCCCCACCAATGGAAAATTCAATGTTTTCTGGGACTCTCAGAATCTTAGTCCCTCTCAAGTTTCTTCCATCAAAACCCAAAATTCCAATGTCAAGGTACGTACTTAATTACATAACTCAAATTACTTTATACCAAGAGAAAATATAATAGTAGGTTCCTGAATTGCGATTGAATTTTATTTTATTAGTACCTATACATGGTTTCATATTTCATTATTTTAAGTCCTTTTAGAGTTTGATCACTTAGCAATTTTAGCCCTTATTATTTTAAAAATACATTTCATAACCATGAGCTGACATTTGATGGATTGATAACATTAATGGACTGACGGAGTTAATTTTGCTTGCACGTACTTAGTTATGTTAATTTTTGTTTGCGGTGATTTTATGTGGGAATGCCAGAGGAGTATATCATCAAGCGGTACAATAAACTTGACTTCTAAAATCAAACGGTGAGTTTCAGAGGTCCTTTATCACCATTTCCCCAAATGCAAGCTTAAAAATAAGAAAAATGAAGATATAAAGATGGAGATAAATGGGAGATATGCATAATGAGAAAATCATGATATTGGTAATGATATAAGAAAAATTACATTAAATAGAAGATAAAAAAAAGCTGATAGAAAAGTACTGAAGTGTTATTGTTACTAGTTGTTGGAGAATTTACTATTCTTTACTAGATGTATGACGCTTTGAGGGACCTATGTCAAATTTTGCGGGAAAAAGTGTTTGGTAATTTGGTTAAACTAAGTATTGAAGTAATTGGAATGCTACTTTTGGGTTGATAGAATTTCGGTTGTTGAAAAGAATGGAGAGAGCCTCCATAATGATAAAAACAGTCGCATTAATTGAGTTTGGAGTGATGTAGGGTTAGTATTTGAGTTTTGTGCTGGGAAAGTAAATTTTGAGGTTAAGTAGTTCAAGTGTTGAGAGACCTTGTATGTGCGGTAGCTGACAATTTTTACGTAGCTCCATGATCTAAATTTTTAGGGTAACTAGTTATAATTTTTCTCAAATTCCTCTGCATTCTCCTTTTTCAAAAAAGGATGTTGTTTGACTAAGTCTTCCTCATTAGCCACCCCTTTTTTTAAAACTTGGTGGGCTTGGGCCAAAATTACTTCTTTTATTCTAAACAATTTGTTTGCTCGTATGTATTTAATAATTTAATCCCACTTTCTCACACTAATTTGTACTTGGTCAAATTTATCTTCATGTTAGCAAATTTTTAATGCCAGTAAATAGGTTAGCAGGAAATTAATATCAGTGTCTCTATCTATGCATTTTTAAAAACTACAAAAGCTAATATTTAGACTAATCAAATTAAAGGAATTGGAATGAATAAAATAAAATTATAAGACAATAAACAAAACACAATCAAATTACTAGGATCTATTACTGTATTTTCTCTTATATTAATAAGAATACCAAATTAATTGTGGTGTATATATATTGATTTCCTTTAGGTGGCTTTGAGTCTAGGAGGAGACAGCGTGGCAGGTGGTTCTGCATACTTCGACCCATCTTCCATTGACTCATGGGTTTCCAACGCAGTTTCATCGCTCACAAGCATAATCAAACAGTACAACCTGGATGGAATCGACATCGACTATGAACACTTCAAATCTGATCCAAACACCTTCTCTGAGTGCATCGGACGCCTAATCAAAACCCTAAAAAACAATGGCGTCCTCAAGTTCGCTTCCATCGCTCCATTCGACGACCCACAAGTTCAGAGCCATTACAAGGCATTATGGAACAAGTATGGGGACATCATAGACTACGTCAACTTTCAATTCTATGCGTACGACAAAGGCACGAGTGTGTCTCAGTTCATTGATTACTTCAACACACAGAGCAACAATTATGAAGGAGGGAAGGTGTTAGTGAGCTTTATAAGCGATGGAAGCGGAGGGTTGAGTCCAGATGGTGGATTTTTCACTGCGTGTCATAGGCTTAAGAGCGAAAACAAGCTTCATGGGATTTTTGTTTGGTCTGCTGATGATTCCATGGCCAATGGTTTCCGTTATGAGAAGCAATCACAGGCCCTTTTAGCTCCTTCTTCAAACTAAGGTTTTGTAATTTGTTGTGCGTATATGTATATGTATATTAATATTTGTCATATTATGTATGTATGTTAGTATGTATGGGTGCTGCTACACTAGCTATATGTGTATACATGCACACGTGTATTAATATGTACCTTTCTCTGTTTAAATATTTATGATTAATAAGGGGTTATATTACTGGGCATTCGATCGACTCTTTTACTAAGTGGATAAGGAATTATCAAGTTTTGCTTCGTTGAAGGCTTTCATTTTCTCCGTCTTCTTGTTTTTTTTCCTTATGGTATCAACATATAGAAAGCTCATCCTTCTGCTGGCATTTTTCACCTGAACATTGTTTAACGTTCTTAGTTCATAAACTACTGTCACTCTGGGGGTGGTCGGTTCCCAGGGTCTGAAGTTTGAACTCAACAAGCAATACTTCATTTAATCTTTCTTTAAATATTCTGCAGATATGCATATGATCTATTGAATATATTTTGGTTTAACTTGTGCAGTGAATGCCAGCTTTTAATTTGATAAGGAGATATTAGGAAATATAGCAAATCATGGGGAAGGAACAAATCCAGGTGTTGAATGCGCTAGATGTGGCGAAAACAAAATGGTATCATTTTACAGCAACCATCATAGCAGGCATGGGATTCTTCACGGACTTATACGACCTGTTGGTGATTTCCCTCGTTACCAAGTGGATCAGTCGTGTTTATTACATCGGAGATGCAGAGAAACCTGTACGTTGCCTCCGGACATGTCGTCCGCCATTAATGGTGTAGACTTCTGCGGAACACTCAGTGGCCAACACTTCTTTGGCTGGACGGGAGATAACATAACTGTTATTGATGATCCTATTTTCTATCTGCTCTGGCCTTTCCTCTGGACACACCTCTAAATCTGTCATGATCACTCTGCTTTATTCTCTTCTGGCTTGACTTTAGAATCGGTGGTGACTACCCACTTTCTGCCACAATCATGTCTTAGTATTCGAGCAAGAAGACTCGTGGCGCTTTCTTTTCTGCAGTTACGTTTTTGCTATGCAGAGTTTTGAGACTTTGGCGATGGCTTGTTTTCAATGATCATTTCAGCTTATTTTCAAGTCAAGCTTCAATGATCCTCGGTATGAGGTTGATCCAGTTGGTTCAACAGTTCCAGAAGCAGATTTTGCTTGGAGGATAGTTCTAATGGCAGGATCAGTTCCATGTGGTTGTTGAAGCTGATCTCAAGAACAAGCAGGCACGAACCAACTTGGTGGCTTAGGGGGGCAAGTGCCCCCCATAAGGTAAAGAAAAAAAATAATTATACAAAATGATCCAAAACATTTTTTATGCTCCTTAAGAAATTTCAATTGCCCCCTCCGAAAAGGAAAAAAAAAGTATTATTTGTCCTCTTAAAGTCTCACTTATTCCCTAGAAATTTATCTATCTCAAATCTAATCTATATATTATAATCTCAAATAATTATGGTTTGAGAACGGAGGAACTAATAATTAAAAAAAAATAATTTCCTTATTTGTTCAAATAAAAAAATTATCACAAAAAATTCCCGTAATACACTATAGATAAATAATTTTATTTAATGCATCACTATAGTTTCATGCATTATGCCATTTTTTTAGTAATTAATTTTAATAATTTTTGCCCTCTGAAGTTTTTAATATTCAAACTTAAAATTTTTTAAGAATAATTAATATTTATTTTAAGTAAACATTTTGCCCCCATTGCCTAATTTTTCTGGTCCGTCACTGAGAACAAGAACAAGAATCCTAAGTCACAGGCTGACAGATTTGGATTGTTCTCTATTTAAGGAGTTTCTAGCTCGTCATGGCCTTCATTTGCTTGGAATATCGAGTACGTGGTTCTTGCCTGACATTGCTTATTACAGCCAAAGCCTATTCTAGAAAGAAGTATTCAGTGCAATTGGATGGATTAATTCCTGTGGCAAAAACCATGAATGCTCTTGAGGAGATCGACCAAATTGCCAAGGCTCAAACGCTTATTGTTCTATTCGGTACGATTCCAGGCTACTGGTTCACTGTGGCTTTCATTGACAAAATACGAAGATTCAAAATTCAATTGGTGGGGTTCTTTTTCATGACTGTGTTTATGTTCACTTAAGCACAACCATGTTGAATTTGTTGTGTTGTACTCACTCACATTCTTCTCAAATTTCGGACCTAATGCCACAACATTTGTGGTGCCAGCAGAGATTTTTCCGACTAGATTCAGATCAACATGTCATGGCATGTCATCAGCATCTGGGAAGCCAGGGGCTATTGTTGGGGCATTTGGGATCTTGACTCAGGCGCAGATTCAGCATCCAAGTAAAGTAGAGGCAGGTATTGGGGTTGAAGAATTCATTACTTGTGCTGGGCATTAATTGTTAATGCTTTAGGCTTTGCTTTCACGTTCTTAGTGCCTGAGCCAAAAGGAAGATCCTTGGAGGAGATATCTGGGCATGCTGATGATGATGGGGAAGACCAAGGCAAGGCAGAGCCATAGCTAACACAAGATTTGCATCAATAATAAAACAATTCCTAACCATTGTAGGATGTTTCTATGAATTTGCTCTGCGTTAGTAGTCCACCTAAAATTAAATTAATGCTTCTATTAAATAAATAATATGATTGTATCATCATATTTTGAGATTTGGATTCTATGAGTCTTAAATGCTCTTACTATGTGAATATTCATATTACAATTGTGAGATTTTATTCATGCTCAAAAATTTATGCTTATTGAAATAGTAAGTTAAAGGCCGGAGATTTTATGATGAATGCATCCCAATTTTTTTTTTTTGGCAATAATATAAGCTATTGGATTAATGACATATCACAATAAAAGAAAAAACTGTATTAATTAAAGTTAACGTGAATAGTAAAACTCTCATCATTTAAGTAAGTAGTTGAAAGTTTAAACTTCAACTCTTGTATATATATTAATTTAGTTCAGAGAGGTTTATCCTTTACCTTCCACACTTCAAGGAAGATAATCTCTATCGTCAACAGCATCTTCTTCTTATGCTATATAAAAAAAAAAAAGGGAAGAGATGAAGTTGTGATTTGCTTAATGATCACAAGTATGAGATATTTGATGTCGAATGCGATATGTGAGAGGGAGACATTATTGGTCTTTGATGCACGCTTATGTTGTCTTGTTCCTAAAATGTGTTCTGTTTATTAGACTCACGATTGGGATGTGTGGAATACCTTTTTTTTTTTTTTTTGGTACAAGGATAGCTAATTTTTTTTATTTCTACACAATAATGCTAAGCTTTGATAATATATGCTACTTAAATTCAAAGCTCACTCTCCCTTGCCAAAAATATATGACAAAATTTTGAAGGAATCTGCTCTAAAATTGTATAGCAGAATTGATTTTTCTCAACCCTTGACTTCTCTGTTAAAGCTTTGATATATATATACATACATATATATATATATATATATATATGTATGTATATATATATTATAGGTGTGTGTAGTGTGTAGTGTGTACATGTGTCTATAATGATAAGATATTTTAGTAAATTTTTAGCACGCTACATGTTTGTCGAAGCATTTGATAGCAAAGATAGAAAATAATATATTTAAAATTAGTTCTCTTAATAAATAATCTTTTGACGCATTATCAACCAATAATCTTATATACACATGCGGAATCTTTCATGAATGGACATAGAAAGATTTATAGTCATTTTATATTATCATTGTTATAATTCCTAATAATAATATTTTAAAATCATTCTTAAAACTTACAGTTATACGTCTATGTTCATTACTATTTCTCATACATACTGCCAAGGTGCTAGACTGGCATGATAATGTGGAGATTATTATACATACCCAGCTCATCAATATATATATATATATATGAACTTCTTGAACTGTGAGGGGGGTTTTAAAGTTTTTAAAATGAGAAAAATAAATATATAATAATAAGCTTCCCTTCTTATTTTTTGATAGTATAAGCAGTAGATGCTGCTAAAATGTGAACTTTTCCCTTCAAGCATGGGACAAATGATGGATCTTTCCCAACTAAATAAATACATATACAATGGTTGAGATTCAACCTCATACCATGTACGTACTTAAGTGATGATAGCTTCTACACTAATGCTAATTTTATTTGGCAGTGGGCTTCCCTTCTAATTAAGTTCTAACATGTTAATTCTTATAGAAGTGAGGCAACCCTATCATTCGTTTATCTCTCTCCTCACTCAAAAATAAAGTCTTGCCAAGGTGTTAGAATTCGAATGTGGATTTATTAAATGAGCGTCTCATGTAATAGTCTGATGATAATAATTATTAATTTAATTAAACGGTTACAAGAGATTTTATCATATATAATACTTAAAAATTAAAGCACAACATCCTAATAACCATACATAACTGGGACACTCATTGAGTAAGGAGAAAAGGGTGTCTCCATTTTCTTTCCCTCCATTTCTCTCCCATCATCCTTTGATCAAAATTTTAATGATTTAGATTGAAACTTTGATAAAATTATTATTTTATTTTATCCAAAGATACATAAATAAATTTAAATTATTAAAGTTCAATCTAAATAATTTAAAACTACAATATTTTATTTATATATTTTATATAAAATTAAAACAATAATTTTATTAAAAATTAAATCTGAACCACTAAAAATTTTTAATCCAATGGTGATGGGAGAGAAATGGAGGGAGATGGAGGGAAGTAAAATGGAGACACCCTCTTCCCTTGAGTAACTGGATTTGTATTATCCACCACAGATCCAAATATATTATAGACTACAGACAATAATGCATGACAATGCATGGATAAATTATAAAATGAAGTAAAATAACACATAGTAGCTAGTGGGTCTCATTTCTAACACGAGTCCCACAAAAATGGGGCTGTCGTTTTGTGTTTCTTTTTACTTGAAATAAAGGCATGTAATGGAATCCAAACAAGTCTAATGGTATAATCTTTTACTTCACAATAAAAGCAAATTTAGCGTGTACATCACTGTGGTTGTAGAATCTTTGAGTATATTATTCCAATATGTGTGTTGATTATTATATAAGCACAGTCTGGTCGTGCCAATTACATGATCTGTAGATTACCATTATTGACAGAGATGGTGGTTCTCAAGTTTTGCTTCCTTCTTCAAGCTTTCTTTTTCTTTCTTCGAGTATCAACAGAAGCTCATCATGCTTCTGCAGGTGTGTTTCGAGAATACATAGGAGCTGAATTTAAGGGTGTGAAATTCTCTGATGTTCCTGTGAACCCAAAAGTTCAATTTCACTTCATTCTGTCTTTCGCTATTGACTACGACACCTCTGCTTCTGATCCATCTCCCACCAATGGAAAATTCAACGTTTTCTGGGACTCTCAGAATCTTAGCCCCTCCCAAGTTTCTTCCATAAAACGTCAACATCGCAATGTCAAGGTACCTAGCTAGTTTTTGAATTCTGTTTTTTTTTAAATAAATTTCATAGACATATATTTATGACATACTATGGATTGATATTCAATTCATCAATCATTAGTGAATGAAAATATCAGATTAATTGCCCTGCAAGTTTAGAGTGGTTTGGCGCATTTACGAACATGCAGCCACTTTAATTGTGATTCATTAAGTTGCAATTGGATTATTGTTAGTGTTAATAATTTTTTTTTTTTAGTGAAACCTGTCCATTTCATTAATAACAGAAAAATACACACACTAATCCCGTGTGAAGAGAAAAGAAAGCAACCTAATACAACCTACAAAAGTAAACAAAGCATAAAAACCTACAATACAACCTATAATCAGCAAGAAAACAAACAACAGAAAATGTAACAAGCCATGATAGACAAGTTTCAGCCAATCAAATCCCTCATCAAGATAGGAACTAGAGAAGATGGTGGCTCATAGAGCCTTGTGGTACCATGCTTCTCATAGTTTGAGCTGTAATCCAATCGAAAACATTTTTCCACAACTTCAAGCACACTTCTAGAGAATGATTGCAAATGACCATTCACAATCCTTTAATATCTACAACTGTCATTTTTTTCCTGTACAAATCCTGGCAATCCATCTCAATTACCACTTTCCCTTTACTAAACAAGTCTTTTATTGACAGAAATTCAAGCAAAGCCAAGCGTTCTATCAGGAAAATTAAAAGAAAAGAATATGAACAACATAATGATGAAAACCTTTCATCAATCAACTCAGCAAATGATAACAAAAAGGATTACAAATCAAATCAACCTTCAACTTAGTTGATGACCAAAACCCAAATAATGGGGATTGACAATTAGGTGAGGATCAAGTTAACTTTCCTACTTTCTGATACATATTAAAGTCACTAACTACTAAGAGATTAACATCTAATCACTTTTAATATTCCAACACGTTCAAAGACATATATAAAAGCAGATCGATCATTCACCATCTTCCCAATTTCATCCATGAATTGCCCTCTGCAGCCTCTACCTGTCAAACCAATGGCTTCCTTTTTCCTATTAGCACAATTTCACCGCATCTTCCCCTGGCTTATTCCACACTGATGCTGTTTCAATAGCCATAGCAGAGACCTGAACTTGCTTCTGTTTTGCCAATACAATTAACATATCCCAGTATTCATCCACCATTCCTACAGCTTTCCTGAGACACATATCAGTATTGTCAAACAGGAAGCTACATCTAGTCTTCTTCCAAATCATCCAACGTATATGATGTTGGTTAGTGTTGTTGGTTAACACAGAGCTTTGTCAAGAATAAAATTTTTTATGATGGGTGAGTGTTTAAGCCAGGATGACGATGATGGTGATTCTTTTTTTGCTATCTGCGTTGTGAAGACTTCTATCTATAAACTTTATGGGAAGTGAAGCTTGTTAATTAGGCTCTTAATTAAACCTAAGGATATGAGCAACGCGGCGTCCTTCTCGGCTATCAAGTTCTTGAACGGACATGGATCTGTTAGATGCCAACTTAAATGTCTTATTGGATATTGTCATGTGCTCATGTTCGTTACTTTATGCTGAATTTGTCATCCAACCTACTCAATAGCCAACATATAATTATTGAAATATAAAACATAATAAAATTATTATAAGTTTTTATATTTTATATTGATATTGATTCATTGTGTCAATCTTTGAAAAATAGTCAATGAATGGAAATTGTTTCAATTTGTTTTTCAATTAGATGATAAGACATGCTTTAAAATTTGGGGGGTGGGGAAGAGTACGTACATCATGAGAAAGGACATACCTTTTCTTAGTTACCATAAAACTGAATTTCAACCGATGAAAAAGTAATTTCCGTATTTTTCACTAAACATGTCATGCCGTTAAGATATTCGCGGATGCAATGGCGGTGATGTTTCAGTCAACTTTGAGTAATTAAATAAGTCAAACTTGGCGTTCTTCCATAGAATATATTCCTCATGCATGACTCATGAGTTTGGGTTTGGTCCACCTTCTGATAGCTGTACAAGTTGAATATTAATGTGAATGGTTTGGCTACTCGGACAAATTTCTTTTATTTTATTTTCTTTTGTTTTTTCAAACTTATATAAATTAATTAATATATTTAAAATATTAAAACTCAATTTGAACTATATAGAGATATTTCAAATAAGAAAAAGACAAATATAATTAGTGCTCCCTCTTTTCAATGTTGTAAAGTATTTTTTCAAAATATCATGTTACAAAATATAAGGTATTTCAGATATTTTAAAATACAATTAATAAGGTTTTTCCAAAGACACCCATCTTAATTATTAAAATATTCTATTAAATAAGAATAAATGTAAAAATAGTGAATAATTTAAAAGATAATTAATTAATTTATTAAGAATATAATTTGGTTAAAAACGTCATGTAATACTCAATGGATAAAATTTTTTTATACAAGATAAAAGAAGGCAGTTGGTTCGGTCAACCTTTTTTAATGGCCTCGTGATGATTACCCCCAAGGTGGGGCAGGAATTTTGAATCTTCTACTTTTCAACAGAAGAAAAATCAGAATTACATATCCTTGTGATTGTGGTCTTGTGATTGATTATTAACCACAACTTTCGGTGATACCAATCCGTCTGTATATATTATTACATAGCCAATTAATTGAGTCGTACCAGTTTCTGAAATCTACAGAGCTTTCAATTATTGAAAGAAATTATGAAGCTTCCCAAGCTCTGCTTCCTGCATCAAGCTTTCCCTTTCTTCTTCTTCTTCTTCTTCTTCATTGTGCGATCAGCACAAACATCCACCTCAAGCGTCTTTCGAGAATACATAGGAGCCGAATTTAAGAATGTGAAGTTCTCTGATGTTCCTGTGAATCCAAATGTCCAGTTTCACTTCATTCTCTCTTTCGCTATTGACTATGATACCTCTTCTGCTTCTCCTTCTCCCACCAATGGAAAATTCAACGTTTTCTGGGACTCTCAGAATCTTAGCCCCTCCCAAGTTTCTTCCATCAAAACCCAGCACTCTAATGTCAAGGTGCCTAGTCTTTAATTTTCATTTCATAAATATCTAATTAGGTGTGGTTTGTGTAAATGGGTTGGCCCACTTCAGAGCATACATGTGGTCGTCTATGTGCTCATCACATGTATGCTTCCATGAGAATCTCACAAATTTTTCCATGAAAAATTATTTCTCACAGCTATGTCTTTAGAGAGAGAATTTTTTTCTTCGTGCGTTTATCTGATAAGCCACTCATGAGAAAATCCGTTGGAAAACCATTTCTCAAATATTTTTTTTATGTTTTCTCGCAGATCTGTTATGTGAGAAAACTGTTGCTTTGACGTTTGATATAAGATTTGCAGAAATTCACATTATCTCTGTTTTATTTGGTCAGTAATTATATCAATTTATTGAAAGGGGACATTTGACATGTTCACATCCAAACAGTAACTTGTAGAAGCTCTTCCACGCTGACGCATTCGAACACAAAAAAGCAGAGCATAATTAGAGACTCTTACACACACTCTCATTATTCAATTCACGTTGCAGATACATGATACATATTTCATTTCTTTCCTTGAATCTAATTATATTATGCATTAATTGTTAAGGTTAATTTTATTCAATGTAAAACTTCATACACACTTTGACAAACTTAATACAAGACAACTTAATACAAGACAATGCAATTTTTTTTCATAATCTAGGATCCCAAATGCATGAGATTTTAATCTTCTCTTTCAGGTAGCCTTGAGTCTAGGAGGCGATAGCGTGGGGGGCAAACCAGCCAACTTCAGCCCATCTTCCATTGATTCATGGGTTTCGAACGCAGTTTCATCGCTCACAAGCATAATCAAACAGTACAACCTCGACGGAATCGACATCGACTACGAACACTTCAACTCAGATCCAAACACCTTCTCTGAATGCATCGGACGCTTAATCAAAACCTTAAAAGCCAACGGGGTCGTCAAGTTCGCCTCCATCGCTCCGTTCGACGATCCCCAAGTTCAGAACCATTACTTGGCGTTATGGAAAAAGTATGGGAACATCATAGACTACGTCAACTTTCAATTCTACGCGTACGCGAAAGGCACGAGTGTGTCTCAGTTCCTTAATTACTTTGATACACAGAGCAAGAATTATGGAGGAGGGAAGGTGTTGGTGAGTTTTATAACTGATGGAAGTGATAAAGGGTTGAGTCCTGGAGGTGGATTCTTCACGGCGTGCCAAAGGCTCAAGAGTGAAAACAAGCTTCATGGGATTTTTGTTTGGTCTGCTGATGACTCAAAGGCCAGTGGGTTTCCCTATGAGAAGCAATCACAAGCTCTCTTAGCTTCTGCCAAGTAAGGGTTCAATTGTGTTTATGGCGTCTTTAGTTGTTATATACATGTGCTTCTACTGCACTTGCTCTTTAATTTGGATGTAGTAATGCGTACGCCTAAACCTCGGTGGTTGGTTTGACTGCACATGCATTAATATTTATAAAATAAAGATGTATTTTTGTCCTTCATGTATTTTCTGAAAAATACTTAGTACCATAAAATATATATTGAAGTATTTTTGCCTTTAAAATAATTAAATCGAAGCATTCTCTATCCCATTGTAAAATCCCTAGAAATATTTGTTAAAAAAAGTTGACTTGTATTGAAGTATGACTTAATATATATTTTTGAGAATTTAATAGTAAGGTAGAAGATGTTTTGATTTAATTACTTTAGAGTTGAAAATGTTCCACCAAATACTTTAAGGTATTGGGTGCTTTAAAGAATATTTCAAGAACAAAAATACACATTTATCCCACATCTATATGTTCAAATAACTTACAAATTTATATACTTAGACAAATAATTTTGCATTTGAGTGCAAGAAGTAGTTTCTCTTGAATAAGGTTACTAAATTCTTTAGTTTCTCTTGATCGAATGAGGTTAATTAAATTCTTTTAAGCAAGGTTAAAAGTTTAGATCGATCTCATTGACGTAAATAATGTTGAGAAAATCACCGGACAGTGCATAAATACAATCCACTGATATTATCTGATATTAAATTACTATATCACATGTATGTCTGTATTTCTCCCCTTTTTTCACCTTAACCGAAATATGATTGTATTTGGATTATGGTTTACTTGAACTTCATGTCATGTGAGCAGAAAAATAATTTGGATTTATATTTTTTAATATATTAATTTGAATTTGAAAAACAAGTATAATACAGAATTCAAACATATTTCAGTTCTGAAGTCAAAAAATTTCCTTAAAAAATGAAAATTTACCCCATCTAAATTAAATTTGAAATAAAAAAAATAAAAAAATATCTTTTCTTTTACCTCGCCTTTTTTTTGGGGGGGGGGGGGGTTACCTCGTCTATGGTTGAAGGAAATATCTCCATAACAAAGAGTTGAACTTGAAGGCAAAAAAAAGTTCTTCGTCCAGAACCAGAAGCATTAAATATAGGGTAAAAATATATTTTGGTTTCTGAAGTATTCTCTGAAAAAAATCTAGCATCTTAAACCATTGATAAAAAAAATTTTACCTTTAAAAAAATTAAAATATAATATTTTTACTTTTGTCATCAACTTGCCAACATTTATCGTTAAAAAATAATAATTGAAATTTTAATGTTTAATATTGAGAATTGACAACAAGAGTAAAAATATTCTATTTTAATTATTTTTAAAAAATTACTCTGATTAATAATTTAAAATGATGAGTGCTTCTTAAAGAATATTTGAGACAAAAAATATACTTTTATCCAATAAAAACTAAATGTAAATTTTTTTTTTTTGTGGGGAAAGGAAAATCATAAGAATAATAAATAGGCTGAAAGGCCCAAGTACGTGTCGAAAGTCCAGTCCACGACTACGCGAGATTACATCGAATAGCCCCAGAACCACAATAGGACCTGGTAGGGAAATAGAAACTGTACAAGGACAAAAGTGGAAACACGCAGAACAGAGACAGAGCAACGGTCACTTTCCCATTCTCCACCTTTACTTACAAAGCCACCTCGAGACCCAACGGAAACAAGCCAACACGAACAAAACAACATCATTCGCCTTTTCAGAATCCAACACTAATCATTCGTTCATTCATTCATGGCTGTACACGGAGAAGAAAACGAAGAAGAAGAACAGAGTCTGATTCTGAGGACAGCGAAAGTGGTGGAGTATTTAGAGCCATTAATGTCGACAGAGCTTCTGGGCAAGTTCCCAGATAACTCAGCTTATGACTTCGATTACTCTCAGAGCTCAATCTGGTCTCCTTTGATCTCTCGTCCTTTCATTCCCATGGATTTGGACTCCACTCCCTTCAGGAATCTTTCTTTCGATAATAATGAGGTTGATTTGGAGTTCGGTGCTATTAACAACAAAAGCAGTGCCAAGAAAGTGGGATCTAAGCTCCGGAAGAAGTTCTCCACCGCAGCGTTTAATCTCAACCTGGATTTGCTTAAGAGTAAGAAGATGAGCATGAAGAAGAAGAAGAAGAACAAGATTGTTCCTTCTGATTTGTCTCCTACACCTCCAAGGATGAAGACAAGCTGTAATCCCATCGTTATGAAAGTAAGTTTCTCTGATTAATTCCATCTGGGCTTTCAGTTTCAGTGTACAAGGTTTAGGATATGTTCATTAATACTGTAATTTTGTGAATGTCACTGCATTATTGAATATGTAAGGATCAAATGTGAAGAAATCTAGATTAATTGTGAGGAGAATATGTTAAAAAATTTTGATATTTGCTAGATTTAATTGTCATAGTGACTAACTCTTAGTGAGGAATCTAGATTAGGTGTGGTTATTTAATTTGTTTACTGGGAAGTGAGGACTGAGTTACTAGTTAATGATGACTTTGGATATAAATTGCATATACAGGGATGGGCAAAGGTGCTGAAAGCTGCGTCGAAGCAGTTCAAGAGAAGGAAGATGAAGAAAGACACTACGGCTCATGTGATGCTGCCTAAGTCTTTGTGATACATCACACATGTTTACTTCAATTATGTACTGAATGTATGGAATTGATGTTAATTTAATTATGCAATCATTCCAATGTTATTTGTTAGTCACCTTTAAAAGTTCACTTTGGCCTTTAATGTAACTTAATTTTCCTTATTATATGTAATTCTTTGTACACAATTCTCAAAATACCTTTTTACATATTTTAAAAAGAAGTGCAACACTTTAATATTTTATACAACTCTTTTTCATATGGTGATATCAAACTCATCCACTCTCATTAAATTTAATTAGAAAAAGTAATTAAATTTTAAGATTATTTTATTATTCTAACTAATTTTTATTGATTTTGATGAGTTTATTAGAAGTAGATCATGTAACAGCGGAATGAATATTAATTAAGTGGTTGTTATTCACATCTCAGTCCTTCTTGTTGTTCAGTAACATAGTCTGACTTTTTTACTAATTACACCTGTAAATTATCTACAAAATTAATTTAAAAAAGTTCCTGTTATCAGTATAGATTTAGAGCTAAAACGACATTTTAAGTTTTTCTATATAAAGAGAAAAAACATAAATACTGGGGTTGTAGGATATCATAGCCCTTTCTATGCAGTGCTGTTTTATTGGTGCAGTCTTGTTTAATTTGTTTCGTTGGCTTAACATTTTTTTACATAATATATTGGACATTTTTATGACACAGGAAAAAAACACCATTTGAACCAATAATTAAAAAATTGAACCAAAACAAACGGTCAGACTGTCTACAAGTTAGGTTAACAGCTCAGTCAAGTCAAAAAAACTATTTGGAGAGTTGAGCTAAATTGAGTTGCTTTGGACCAACAATCAGATCAGGAATAGTGATCAAGTCGGGAACTGAGTTTTTTTTTTTAAATTGACCTATTCAAAAAATACCTTTTTTTTAAATGACTAATTTTTTTAATCATTTAATATTATATTGTATTATATGACTTATTAAGTTATGATAAACTTAAAATATTTAGTTTTATTTTTAAGATAAGTAACAATTTTATATTTATTTTTATATTTAGATTATTAAATACATATGTAACTTTTTAATTTAATTATTAAGTTACTGATTCAATTATTAATCCAATTCGAATAAACTATATGAATCATGAATCGCTAATTTTTTTTTAGTTCAATATTTGGTTTAATTTTAAAAACATTGATTTGAACATAGCATCCAAGATGGGAGAGAGGTCTCCCCACTTGTTTACACTCCTATTCTCTTCACTTTGACCATTGAATAAGAGAGACCCAAACTAAACCTATTAAGCAGCAATAAATGAGAATTGCTTCTCTAAAATGGCATTAATAGCAAATCTACAGATGGCCAAAAGAAATAGCATAACTAAAATTTAAATTTTTATAGACATCATTCCTATAGAAAAATCTTCAAAACAATTACGTTGATGTTCCACAATGTATTGTCAACAAGTTTAATTTAATTGTTAATAGATATTATAGTAATTAATTTTTTTTATGAAATCTAAATGTAATTCTTTCAAAATCTTTATAGACAGCTTTATCATTCTCATCACTAAATTCTCTAATCAAAATACTATGCATGTATGATTCTTTTAAAATAGCTTACTAAGCGTATGAATTTTACAGCCTCGTGTGAATTTGTTTAGTAAACCATAAACCTATGCTATTTGAAGAGAATTATTTTTTCTTATATTTTTATTATATTTTAAATAAAAAATGATAATAAAATAGACAGAAGCTGCACATAGCCCTTTCCCTTTAACAATGTCATCAAAATCAATATGTTGAAAAAAAAAGGAAATACTAATTAAACTGATTAGAAAATTCAGCCAAATATTTTTTGTAACATCCTGATTTAAAAATAATAATAATAATAGAAATCTATATTATTTGAGATTATTTAGAAATAATAATATGGTTAGAAATTTAATTATGAATTAAAAATTTAAGTTTAAAATTATATAAAAAATATTTTGTTAAGATATAATTTTAAGATTTAAAATAAAAAAAATTATGTGTGTTTGTGAGTTAAAAAAATTAAAAAAAAATGGTTGAAGTAAAAAAAAAAACAGAGAGAGGCGTTATTGAAGTCTCACATCGATTAGATGTGAGAAGGTGAGGTGCCTCCTCACATATAAAAGGAGGAGGCACAGGCGAGGAGGAGCAGAAGGAAGAAAAGAAAAGTTTATGTAATTGTGAAAATTACAACTAAGGGCCCAAAATGTAATTTAGAGAAAATTACAAGTAATGGTCCAAAGGTTTAAATAATTAAATTCAGATCTATAATTTTTTTTAATATAATTTTGAGACCCACAATTCTATTTTTATATTATTTTTCTCTCTTCCTCTCACGTTGCTCGGCGTCTTCTTGCAAGGGGAGATTATTTTCTTTTTCTTCAGGTATGTTCTAACTTTTCTGTTTAGATTAGCATTTAAAAATTTACTTAATTACAAAATTAATTTTATATTATTTTCTAAATAATATTAGCTTTCTAGTGATATGATTATTTTGTAGGATAGAGTAAATATTTTGATTAAGATTTTTCTAT